GAGAAGAGGACAACCTTGGTGTTGTGGGGAGGCCTGGCCTACATGGCCACTCAGTTTGGGATTCTGGCCCGCCTCACCTGGTGGGAATATTCTTGGGACATTATGGAGCCAGTCACCTATTTCATCACCTATGGTAGTGCCATGGCAATGTATGCTTATTTCGTAATGACCCGCCAGGTAGGACTTGTTGTGCTGGCGTTGACCCTGCAGTAGAAGGCTTTCTCTGGGCTCTCCTCCCTGGGAAAATAGCAGAACTGTGCCTGTTAGGAGCTGCTTTGCCCCTTCCTTCTCCTGTCAGAACCAAGATGCCGCTTGTTTAATTTTTGGTGGGGTGTGGTTGTGGGGTGTTCTGCTGCTGATTGTTGCTTGCTTTTCTGGTTGTCTTACCAGAAATGCTTTTACGTGTTTGGTGACTGACTGCTGTAGCTATACAGGTTCGTCTGCTGACAGATATGGTCAGAACAGACAGATATGGGTGCATGAGGTACCTCTTGAGTTTCAAGGAAGCCCACCCCTCTGACATGCCGTGTTGGCCCTTTTCAAGAGACCAAGGTTCAGGCATCTTGTTGGAAATATTTTGTTTAGGCCTTTCATGGATCTGGCCTCCCATCCAGATGGAGAATCCCTCTCTGGATCCTTGTAATTGTGACAGACTCTGTGTGGATTTTCTAGTACATGGTTTGTCTCGTCACTTCCTAATCCCACCTAAATAATGAGGGAGGGAAGACTCAAAGAATCTCTACAGTCACAAGGCCATCAGAACAGATGCTGTGGGTGTTCCAGGTGGTGTCCCGGGGTCTCTTAGCTGCATCAGTTCAGGGGCAGTATTTATAGCCTTTTCCTCTCTTTCTCCCCACAACCCTGTTGGTGTTAGAACCCTGAAATGTGTTAGTTTTTGTTCTCTCTGCATGGAAGGACTCGCACATTCAGGACAGGAGGAAGGTGACGGTACCTCACTGCTGGAGTGTAACAAATGCCTGACTGTGCTGGGTCTGGCTGGGGTGCAGTTAATGTTCTTCAGAGCTGCTGGGATGGGGCTGTGTTTGGGATTTGTGACCAAGACAGCCTTGATAACCCACCAGTGATTTTGCTGTTGCTGAGCAGTGCTTGTACAGCACCGAGGCCTTCTCTGTTTTTTATTCCTCCTTGATCTACCCTCTCCCAAGCCCCCATTCCCCACCCCTGGGAATAGGCTGGAGGTGGGTGAGAAGCTGTGAGGGGACACATCTGGGACAGCTGCCCTAAACTGACCAAACTGGTATTCCATGCCCTATAACACCATGTTTTGTTATAAATGGTGGGGGGAGTTTCTCCAAAGCAGCTGTTGCTCAGAGCCTGGCTGGGCATTGATCTGCTGGCAGGAAGTGGCAAGTGATTACTTTTGCATCACTCTTATGGGTTTTTTTTCTTCAGTTATTAAACTGTCTTTATCTTGACACTTAAATTTTTACTGTTTTTCCCCCCCCTTTGGATCCTCTTCCCCCATCCAGCTGCAGGGGAGTGAGTGGGTGGGTGGGGGCTGAGCTGCTGGCAGGGGTCACCCCCACACCGTGGGAGCTCAGACCAGGCTGTCTGTCTTGTGCCTTTGCTGTTGGAAACTGCTCATCCTCTCCAAACACACCTGAGCCATCCTGTGCTGGTGGTATCCTGGGTTGCATCCCAGTGTGGCTTCATTCGTATCTTCTCTCCTATTTTTCTCTTTAGGAATATGTTTATCCAGATGCCAGAGACAGACAGTACTTACTATTTTTCCATAAAGGAGCCAAAAAGACGCGATTTGATCTAGAGAAATACAATCAACTCAAGGATGCAATTGCTCAGGTAACAAGAACTTTGCTGGAAAAAAGACCAAGAAATCAGTGCTTGCTAGCTCTTAGTTACTATTAATAGACACACTTCAAACAAGAATGAATGTATTTTAAGTTCTTACCCCATTTTCTTGTCACAGCCCCAGCACAACCACTGAGTTAGCTTTGATATTCCCAGGAATAGAACTGCTGGATGCGTAAATCAACCTGAAACACTTGTCTATATCCATCTGTAAGGGCCCTTTAGAAACTGCTGGCAAGTCTTGAGTTGCTTCAGACACTTCATGCCTCAGAGGAGCCTAATTCAAGATTTCTTTTCTTCTCAGCTCCTACACACCAGATGGATTTAGTGAGGAATGAAGACTTGCATCCATTCAGTTCATGTCTTCCTGACATAGCACTTCAGTGCACTGGGTTGCAGTGCTGGAAAAATCATGTTCAGAAAATGTAGCTGTATTGTTAGAGGCAGTGGGGGGCAGATTTCTCAGATTCTGGAGACAGACACTTTTTGGCAGACTGTCCACATTGTGGGATCTGCTCAGCAAAGGACTCAGGTAGAGACCTTCCCTCGTGTTTCTCTGAGCCTTTCTGCAGAAGGGTGGCATGAGCAGAGAAAGCAGAGCTACCACATTCTTTTTCACTGCTCTGTATCATCCCTTTATTCCCAGGCTCTGGAAATGACAGTGTAGGACATGCAGGGCAAGATGAGTTCTCCCCCTGCCTTGGAGAAGGAACTGCATAAGGAATGTTGAATACAGATACTCTTGGGTATTTTCCTTCTCTTCTATAATCAACCATCCCCAGTAATCTAGTTGGGGTGTTGATTTGTTGTTTTGGGATTTTTTAAAATATTCCACTGAGTTTATGGGGATCAAATCTTCCCTCCCATATTCCTTGAAGTGGCTGCATGCAAGTTCAGAGAAGGACAGCTGAGAATGGTTTTCCCAGATAAGAGCTTGTGACTTTGTTTTACTCTTTAAGCGCTTTCCTTCTGGACAGGAAAACCAAGGAAATAAGGAGAAGCTTTCAATTCTCTGAAGGGAAATGATAATGAGGGGGAAGGTGTGTTGGGAACTTTTGCTTCATAACGTGTCTTCTACTTTCAGGCAGAATTGGACCTTAAGAGGCTTCGAGACCCACTGCAGGTTCATCTGCCCATCCAGCAAATTTCTGAAAAGGACTGATCAGCAAAGAAGCTCTGAACCCCGGCCAAAAACCTGTCCATAGCTCTTGCCTTTTTTAATTAAAGCATTGCAGGTGGAAGCTGGGAGGTGGTGTGGGGGGGTGGAGGGTTTTTACCTTTAATCAAGACAAAGGACTGTAAAGGGGGGGAATCTCTTAAATCTGAAGATGAGACATTGTGGAATGTTAGTTCTGAAAAGGGCTTGGCAAACAGTCATATTTTACAAACTGTCTGAGTGGCAATTGTGTACAAATACAGGATTGGGGGGGTTCATGGAAAGAATGTAATGCTGGGGTGTAGGGGTGTCTTCTTCCAGCTTTGCAGGGTCTGCCTCTTGATAAGACACCAGCAGCCTGCTTAGCTTTTTAAATTTTCCTTTACCTGATTCCAGTCTCTCTTTCTCTCTCTCAAAAAAAACCCAACCCAAAACAACAAAAGGAGGAAAAAAAAAAAAGAACAAAGAATCCAAGCCACCTGGAGCTCTGGCTGGTGATCAGACCTTGCCCTCCACCGCCATTAACACGCACACTTCTGCTCAGACCTGGTCTCTTTTATAAAAGTTACTACAAGACTGCTTTCTACTGGAAAACCGTGAGCTTCCCCTTCCCAGCCCACCCCCTGTGCTCCACTGACTTCCTCCTTTGCTTATTTGTAGCACAGATTGGTTGTAGCCGAGTGAGAGAAGGAATGAGTTTTCTTCTGGACATTTGATAATTGATATTTTGGATTATTCCATAATAACTATATAAACTTTGCATCCTGATGCCCTTGAGCTCCTTCTAGAAATCCACGGCAGCATTGCATGAGAGGTTTTTTATATTCAGTCTTAAGGGAGGGGGATTCCCCTCTTCCTACCCCAAATCTGATAGCCACCTGGACTGTGAAATTATGAAGGCTTAAAGGATTACAAAACTGTGGCAGAATCATGAGTCCTGCTTTTAAATGCACAGTTTTGGAACAGGGAGTAATGAAACTGGATATTTGACTGCTTGTGCAATGGGATAAAAGGTTTCATATATGGTCAAAGCATTTTCCTTGCCCAGAGGCTTTTTGAGAGCCTGGGGCTTCTTACGGTGCAAGACACAGAACTTTGATTTTTCTAGCACTTTCCCCTGATTAAGTAGCTTTAAATGAACTTTATGTCCACAGGTCAGAATTTCTTAGGAGTGGCTAATGACATCTCTTGTTTTTAGCTAAAAAGAAATAGAGGAAGGAAGGTCAACCCATTGCCCTCTCTCCTAGCCAAGGCTGGCTGGTTTCTAAGCAGATAAAACATCTCTTCATTCAAAGCAGGTCAAGTCTGGTTCAGCATCCTGCTGATAAATGCTCTGGAGACAGGATGAAGGTAGGAGAAGGACACTAAGCTTTATATACAGAAAGGCTGGCTGCTTTTTTTGATGTTTCACTACTACTCCTCACTGTGTCGTGGAAAGAGGCTTCTGGTTTTTCTGGAGAACCAAGTTTTAAAAACAAAAAGGAAAAATAGGAAAGAAAATAATTCAGTATTAATTAGACTCCAGGTGCCTTGCAGATGTGGAAACACAGCTGGGATTGCTGCCTCTTCTCACTCAATGGCATGTTGGACCGAATGGGTGCATGTTTCTAGTTTTGTTTTTCTTTTCCCTTCCCCTTTCCTTCTGTCTTTCCATTTAATTACATTGTGTGATTATTTTTTATTTGTTTTATCCTGTTTGTGTGATGAGTTTTAAAGGGGAAAAAAAATGAACACAATCCTGTAGCTGAATCCTTGGTGTGTGTTTGGGATGAGGGAGGGAGCATGGAGAAAAGTCCTTCTTTAAAAAAAAAAACAAAACAAAAAACAAAAAAACCGAACATGTGTAAAATCCTGTATCATTTATGAAATATGTATAAAAGAGCAATGTACTTCTGGAACAATAAATAACTATTCAATTTTTGAACGGGTGCTCTTGAATAATGTTATTTTCCCCAGCTGAGAAGAGAATATTGCCTGTGTGGCAGCTCTCTGCTGAGTTTCCTCCATTTCTTTTTGTTTAGGTTGTTTCTTCCTGCCCGTACCTCTCTGAGGCCGTGGTGACGCAGAGCAGAGCTTTGCTGAAGGAGCTCGGATGGAGATCCTGCTGCCATGCCTGGCTGCCTAACACAGGGATCTCGGGAGCACCTGAGGTGCTCAGGTGGAGGTAGAGACACGTGGTCTGACAAAGATGCGCCTTTGTTTGGCCAACACAGTAGCAGGATAAGAACATACACCCCAACTACCTAAAAAGTGTCAACCAAGTGGTGTCAGTGTTTCTGTGTTTCATTCAAGTGCTGTTTCAGAGGAAAGTTGCTGAAGTTTTAAGCTTCTGTTCCTTTCTGGGCCCTTGAATGGTCTGATTTGTCATGGTGGCATATGATTTGTTCATTAACTTTGGGAATCAGCAAACTGTACTCTGTCCTAACTTTGTGGTGTTGGGATGAGGTGTTTGGTGCAGGTTTCTATCATGTCCATCAACTGTTTCAAAAACTGGCCAATCGTGGGTATTATATTTTTTGAAAGAGCCACCTCGTGTTTTCTAAAGCTGGAGGAGAAGGACTGGAAGCTGTTAGTTGTCACCTCCCTTTAATCACAGCTGACAAACCTTCTTCCTCCAAGCAGCCCTTAGTCCACTGCTGTGTCCAGATGAACTGCTGCCGTGCTTATATAAATTGCTTGGCTCAGTTGCATAAAAGGTCACCCATTTTGGCATCCAGAAGAACAGGAGACTCATGACATCTGGCACCACAATCTCTAGTTTGAAAGCAAGAAGATGCTGTGACAAAATTGTTCCTGCACATGTTTTAATGTTGTTATAGAGACAATGTAGGAGAAGGAAGGAAGACAAGAGTCTGCAGTTGTTCCCTGAAATCCAGGCTGTCCAGCGGGTCTTGTTAGTCCATATTCCTGAAGATTTTGCTGTCCCAGTGCGCTGTGGTCTCTGCCAGGTGTGGATGACATGCCATAAGCCTCACACTCCCATCTCAGTGCCTTGGAATGCCAACACTCAAGGGGAGGGCAATGTTTATTTGCTCTCCTGATCCGCACTGTTAAATCTCCACAGGAACACTCTCTCTTGCAGCAGCTATTGCCCATCTTGGAGCCAGGCAGGTGACAGGGTCCTGCACAGTGCTGCCTGAATCTTAATGTCCCACTGCATTCTTCAGCCCCTGTGAGGGACGAGCAGCAGTGTGCATTGCAGTGTTCAGGTGCTGCTGCTTCTACCAGCTTTGTTACTCTTTTGATGAACCTCTTTTATGAGGGGGGCTTTCAAATACGTGACCGGTTTAAAGTTGCCTGGAGAGCTGTACTAGGTTTCCTTTGCTGTGCCTGTGAGGCTCTGCATTCCAAGGCCCTCCAGGGAAAGGTGTTCATGGCTCCTTTTTCCTGAAGAGAAAAGAAGAAACCCCTTCTCTTTTGCCCTCTATCCTTTCCTGCCTGGCAGGCAGCCACCATGATCCACCTTGCTGCAAGTTCCTACACTTCCATGTCGGCTCTAGGAGGGTTTTGCATGATGCTCTGGAGCTGCTCTTGGCTGTCAGACCTTGGCACTGTGCCACTCGAATGGAGCTGGCCAAGTTGCCCTTTCTTTGAGCCAGCAGACCAATTTCTTTGTATCTTCTGAGGTTTTCTTGTGAGTGGAGCTGTAAATGCAAGCTGCTTTCCTCTGTGCCACATTGTATGGCTTTATTTTCACACAGGGAAGGAGATTTTTGAATCTTAACTGTCTCAAGAGATTCTAATTATTTCCTTTAAAAAAAAATCAGATTTACTTGTATGATGACATAAAAGGGATGAAAAAGTAAAATACAGGAATGGAAATTAGACTTGAAGTATACCTAAGCCCTGAAGTATGGGAGAAGCTGGTTTTAGGATGTGGCTCTGTGAGCTTGTACGCCCTTATTTCTCCATCTGAAAATTGAGGATCATGGAAAATACACCGGGTTCTGTAGGACCTGTGGAAAAACACTCCAAAAACACTCCAAAACATCACAGGTCTCCACCAAGGGGGAGGAAATAACTGCTGCTCTTCACTAGGGGTGTTGTACTTGCCTGATTTTAATGGGCCCTTGATGTTTTACTTGAGTTCACACTCGTTCTTCCTTAGGCTCGTGTTTGCTCCCTGATCTCCCCAGCCCTTCCCATTGGCACCGTGTCCTGGGACACGTTGTTTACAGCACCAAGGCCTATCTCAGAGTCCTTGACTTTGGTGCAATCCATCTCAGCAGCCTGTCAGGGCTTGCTGTGACCCTGCACCCTCAGATCCTGCCGCGTGTGCCGGGTTCTGCTCTCCCTCGGTGGCAGGAAGTGCTGATTAGCTCTTCCTCCTGCTCCTCTGGGCAGGTCCCTGCACCCAGAGCTGAGCTTCAGCACCTCCCCTTCGCTGGGCACTGCGGTGCCTTGAGTGGTGTTTCTGACAAAGCCTCTTCAGTCAGCAGTGCCTTACAAACAGTACAAGGCTTTCCAGCCCAGCCAGTGCTTTGAGGAACCTGAGTTCCTTGTGTGAGGATGGTAAAGCCCTCCAGATGTCTGGGAGGGGCAGGAAGGGTGCTTGCCACTGCAAAATGAGCAGCCTTTCTCACGTTAAGAGCAGACATACCCAAGCTTTGCAGCAGGTTTAGAACTTTTGCATACCAAAACAAAATTGCAGCCCTCGGTTTTAGTACTGCCTCCCCCCTTCACATCTTTTAAGCAGTACTGATGACTACTTTTAAGAAGTACTAACTTGATCCTGATTCTTTTTGGGAAGTTGGACTCATTCATCCTTGGAGTGTGGAAGTGGAGGTCAGGAACAACGGATTTGCCTGGAGACTGCAGGCCCTAGAGCACCCCATTGGAATTATGTCCTCTCTCCCAGAGCATCTCCTTGCAAGAAGGATTTTGTTTGGGTTTTTCCTCCCTTTTCTGCTTTCAGAAATGACTAACACAGCTCCCTGAGGCACAGATTATGTGATCCAATTCAGGCTACTGTTGTTTGTGGAGCAATGTTTGTCACCCAAATTAATTTACAAAGCAAAGGGAAAGTGCTGATAGAGGAGTTGCCTCTGGTACTTCTTCCCAGAAGTGTTTAGAGGCAGCACACAATCATCTCCAGCTTGAGACCCTTTCCTTGAACTAGATGTTGTGGTGATTGGGGATAGTGCCATCTCTGGGAATGCTTGGGCATCTCCTGCTTTAATCTATTTTGGAGAACTTGGTAGGGCCTGTTGGCGACCCCTTTGAGGCTCAGAATTGCAATGCTGCAGTTGGTTTCCCTGTGTTAATTGTCAGCTGTCAGTCACTTACCTGTACCTGTCAAAGCACGATTGTGACAGGCTCATGTAGCACCTCCAAAACAAAAGCAGCTGGGAGATGAGATGGTTCAGAGAACTGTACACACCTGTGGCACCAACAGAACATTCCATCCACGCTTGTCAGTTTTATTTACCCAGGATCATAAGTAGGAATCAGCCTCTCCACGAAAATGGCAAAATATAAATCCCTGTGTCTTGTTGCAATACTTTCTGTTCAATTTTAGTTTCTCTTCTGGGAATTCACACAAGCACTGTTTAGGGTTATCTGCCTTGATAGCTTTGTGTAGTGAATCTGTTCTCTTTTCCTGTTGTTGGAAAACCTTTTCTAGTACTGCACAGCTGTCAGCACAATAGAGCCACAAGGATTTTTTTATTTATTTTGGTGGGAGCAATGTCTGTGACTTATTTGGGTTTTTTTGTCATTCCTCAGAGTCATTCACCACTGACTCCTGTGCTGGGTGGAGCAGAGGAGCAAATTGCACTTTGCTGCCAGGGACACATCCAGGCAGGGAAAGGCCACTGAGAACGTTCTGTAGTGTGCAATCCCTGTGAAGCAAACACCCAGCTCCTTGTCTTGTGCAAACTCAATGTGAAAATAACGGAGCTGCTTTTTTCCTGCTGGGATTTCGAGCTGGCTCGTCAACCTTGATGTCGTTCCTTACTCCAGCCTGCTGCAGAAATGCAGGATGGGAAGGGAATGGGGAAATGCATCCCTTGCTTGACTGTGGGCTTAGCTGCACTCATTGCTGATGGAGATCTCTTATAGCAAGAGCTGATGGGAGGAGAGGGAAGATCCCTTTCCGCTTATTCACGTTGTCCTTGGTATCCCACTGCCAGCCGTGGTGCTGGGTTTGCTTTAGCAGAGAACAGATTTCAGGGTGCTGCATCCAGAGCTTGTGGTTATCACCTGCAGCTCAACCTAGTTTGGTTTGAACCAGTAAGGAGAGGCTCTCAATTACTTGGGTTTGCGTGGAACTTAATTCCTTAATGATGGATTTTTTGATTGTTGGTTTGGTTTTGTTTTTTAAAGATGAGGAGATTGTAAGACTACTGCAGAAAAGGGTCTCTACTTGCCTTGTTTGATAACCTTGCTGCAATCAGGTTGTGTGACCAGGAGTGAAAAGGGAGCCTTGGAACAGCTTTATTTCCCTGTGGGAGACCAGTCTTTCACTTTGACTGATGTTCCCATTGTAGCTCTGCTCCAGGGGCTCCTCTGCAATCTCTGCTCGGAAGGATCAGTCTCCTCCTTTGGCCACCATTTCCTGCAGTTAAGGCTCTCTGGCCAGTGTTTTCTGCCTGGGGGAGCCATGGAGTCGTAGGACTTGTGGAAGGAGCAGAGATAACAAGCACCCATCTGTTCTTCTCTTCCATGCCTTCGGGATGTCCGGGTGTCCCTGGTTAGAACTCCTCTCCGGATGAGATAGCAGAGGTGTCACTGTGGGGCAGTCAGGGCAGAAAACAATAGCAGGTCGAGTCCAAAAAACAACATTGACCAGTGAGTACATCTCTGCTGTCAGTCAGGGGCAGAGCTGCTCTGGGGAGGTCAAGGCTGGAGCTGTACCCCACATCCCCTCGGCTTCTTCCTCTGATAAACTTCCAGGAGAGCGACCACACTTGCTCTTCTGGAACCTTGGAGTCGGGAGCTCCACTGGGAGGAAGGCTGCAAGAGCCACAGCGTGTGAGGGCTTTCAAGCCTCTGTTCCTTGAGCAGTGACTGCTCCTTGGCTGAGTGGGATGTTCCAGTACTCGTTTTTCTGCATCTGCTTTGTCATCCAGCTCCAGCCAGTGTCTTCGATGGGTGAGTAAAGAGGCATTGCCTTATTTCTGTTTGGCATCTGTAAAGGTTCATGCTGAGCCTTGGTATTCTTAAGTGAAAGGCTGGAAGATGGGAGAAATATTCTTTTCCTTTGAAGATGATGTAAAATTCTTTCCAGTTGGAAAGATCTTTCTGTCACAGAGCGTGAAGTCTCCTGTACTGGGAGAACCTCTCCTGCCAAGGCACTGTGGGATTTTCCTCTCCCTTTGGAGGACAGGCTCTATGAATAGCCATTATGCTGCCTTTTCACCTGCTTCTTTGACAAATCTGAACTGAATTTAGTGTCATAATGCAGTGCTGCTCACTACGTTGCTTAGTTGTGCTGGAGCAGAGACCTCCAGTTACACAATCCACACAGGATTAATCTCTGCAGAATGGTGGGCTCACAAATGCTTGCTGGAGCCTGATTTGTCACCCAGTATATATGATCCCATGTCAGCTAGAGAACTGATGATACCATCGAGATTACAAATGGAGAAGCTTTGCTTCATAGCTAATGCTTGTCAGGCTGAACTGCTCAGGCCACGCACGGAGTGTTGGGGAGGAAAAAGAATTGAGCCAAGAAAAATGAAAAATGGAGGGAGCCGGAGACAGTGATATGTCTTGTGCAAACCCCCAAGTTTTCATTGGTTGGGGAGAGGAGACGAGAGGCTGATCAGTTTTTTTTCCTAAAAACTCCAATCAGTTTTCAGTACACTGTGCTGCCAAGGGCTGCTGGTGTCTGCAGGGAGGTTGGCGTGGGGCAGCCCTGGCACTCCGAGGGTGGCCGTGAGGATCTGCAGTGTTCCAAAGAGCACTGTCTGCTTATTCTGCTTGTTTGCCTCCCCCTCACTCCTGCCAGAAGCTCTCAGAGGAATGAAGGATGTGAGGAAAGGCTACCTCAGTTCCCCCGATGTGCCTTCTTACCAGCTCCCTTTGAGCTGCTGCATCTTCATCTCAGTAAATTTTGTCTTTAAATTATCTTCTGAATGTTTAGGACTCAACGTGCTCTCCCTAGATGAGTGTTTCCAGAGGCTGTCCACAGAGGATATTTCATAAAGTTAATTGCATGAAAGCTAATGAGGCTGTGTGTATTTTTAGTGCTGCCCAGTTGGGAAGCTGACAGGGCATTCCCACTTCACCTCATTTGGCTTTGAACAGCATGAAAACCTTTTCATCTTGCTGTTGTCTGTGGGTAAGGGCAGGCAAGGAGAGGTGGGTGAAATGGAGAGCTCCTGAGGGATCTCCTCAGAGATTCCCTCCTGCCTTCCCCTCTCTGCTGCTCAGGAGAGCTGGGCTGGTTGTGATGGCAGTGAATCAGCTCCTCTGCCTGTTTTTGAACTGTGAGGTTCCCTTCCTAACCCAGATCCGTGCTCTGCTCTGCAGCACTCCTGACTGTGGCAGCTGCTCCTGCATTTTATGCTGGATTTGAGGCCAAACAAGGTGTGGCTGTGGTTGAGGAAGGTGCAAGGGTGCTCATCAAGAGAGATGCTGTATTTATGAGATACTTGTACAACATTCCATGTCTGTGGGACAGATATTTACAGAGGGCACAGCTAAATAAGGGTGACTTGAAGTCCATTCTCTGAAGCACTTTAAAGTTTCCACTTTAAAATCAGTGGAGCAAATCAAAATAATGAACCAGGAAGGTTTGTGTCCAGAAATTCTAATAGAAATAATGTTCCTCCCCCCACCCAAATTGCATCACCCTATTGTTAAACAAAACAAAACAGCACAGTTTTAGAACTTAAAACGAAATGTGCTGTGGGAAGTAGAGGCTATTCCAGTCTGAGATGCATTTAATCAGAATGGTTGGTTGTATTAGCCTGATTTTAGGAAATAATAATCAATTTTCCTTACTCAGGACAGGATTAGCATTCATTTTGCTTAATAGGGAATAGTCTGTCATGGATAAGTAGTGCTTAATCAGATATTAAATGTAAGGGAAGATGGAACCTGTGGACTTTCAGTGAGGAAGCTGCCAAATCAGGGTTAATTAGAAGACTGAAAATGTAATGAACACTTAAAATCTTTATTTCTGTTCTCCCTATGGAACTCTTATGTTTTAAGTGTTTGCAGAAGGTTCAGAAAGGCCTCTGCAAAGGGACACGCTCCTTGAGGACTGCATGATCAGACGGGGTTTGTGGCCTTGGGAGCAACACAACTGTGTCAAAAGTTGAACATTTTGCTCTCCAGAAGGTCCTGATTCAGACCTTCATGCCCTCTAGATTTTAAGATAATAAATAACAGTTGAGTTGACAACTCAGCTGTGAGGACTGACACCAGCTGTGGGTGGGTTTTAAAAGAGACTGCATAACTTGTTTGAAGTATATTCCTTTGCTCCAAGGCATCTGGGAGAGTTACCAGTGACTTCAGGAGGGGCTTACAGGTTCTCAGTTAGGACTTGAACAAAGGCTGGATATCCTAGACTAGATCCAGTGCTCCCAGGTTGTATTTCCCTTGGCAAAATCACTACCTGGCCCCCAGATTTGCTTATATCTTTTTTTTGTTTTTTTCCCCTGTCAGCAAAGCAGCAAGTCAGACTGTTGCATAATGTTGTAAGAGTTCTGTTGAGGTCTTGGAAGAACGAGTAAATTTAAGCTGAGCTGTCAGAATTTTCCCCAAGACAGTCAGCTTGCTGGTATGACCATGTCTCCCTGGGGATCTCTATCACGGTGATTCTGTTAAGTCAGGGACAGAAAAGGAAATTATTTTGCATTGTTTACGATTCTCAGTCGGTTTGATATCTACCAGCTGTTCTCTCTTGCTGCCTGCCCCAGCCCTGGACCCCTGCTCTGCCTACATCAGCCTCAACGAGCCCTGGAGGAACACGGATCACCACATCAACGGCTCCCAGGGGCAGCCGACGTGCGACAGCCAGATCGACGGGGAGTGGTACCGCTTCACGGGCATGGCGGGCGACGCCATGCCCACCTTCTGCATCCCCGAGAACCACTGTGGCACCCACGCTCCCATCTGGATGAACGGCAGCCACCCGCGGGAGCAGGACGGCGTCGTCCAGCGCCAGGCCTGCGCCAGCTTCAACGGGAACTGCTGCCTCTGGAACACCACCATCGACGTCAAGGCCTGCCCGGGCGGCTACTACGTGTACCACCTCTCCAAGCCCAGCGTGTGCTTCCACGCCTACTGCGGCCGTAAGTGGCTCCCTTTTCCAAAACCCCTTTGTCCCCGGTGCCCGGCTTCGGGCTTTGCCACCCGTCAGGTGCGGGTGGTGGCCTGTCCGTGTGGGATCCGTGAGGCAGTTCCACCCGCTGCGTTCCGCCGGCGGGAATTTTCCATGGCTGACCCGGCCCGCGGTGATTTGGTGCTCTCAGTGGGTGCCGTGGTTTGTCTTGGCTCGCTGCCAAAGTCAAAATTTGCATCTCTGACGTGCAGTAATTAAAGCAGATTGTTTCTTAGCAGCTTCGGCGGTTCGTCTTTCCCAACGTGGGCCAGGTCTGGAACTGCTGGGCTGCTCCCAGGGCAGGAAGCTGATGGGACAAATGTGGTTATTTTTGTTGCATGCTCAGCACTTTGAGCTGACAGTGTTCTTGTCATGCCCTAGATTTTTATGACATCTGTGATGTGGTGGATTGCCAGGGCCCCTGCCTGGACACCAGTGACTGCACCTGTTCCCCGGGGACAACACTAGGACCTGATGGACAGACATGCCTTGGTAAGGGTGGGAATAACCTGTGCCAGCTACCGATGCTTTCTTTCCCTTTGTTTCCTCACTCACTTCTCGACCCATTGCCTTGCAAAGCAGTGCAAAACATGCAGTATTCCAAGAGGAGTTTCCTCCCTTGCTGCCTAGAATAGGTCTATGATTCTGTCAGTGATTCCAAGAGACATCCCACGACTGAATCCATTCTGGTGGCCCTGGAGCTCTGTGTGTACGGAGACTAGATTTGCTTTCTGAAGGCAACAGCTGCACTGCCATTAGCAGAGTCTCTTTGCAAGATCGTGGCACAGTCTCCCTGTGGTATTCAGAAAATACTGTGCAGCCTGTCATTAGATGCTCTGTTGAATGCCTCTTTCCTCCCCAAAAAAAGTTTTGCTGGCTGGTGTAAGGCTGCACACTAAGCTCCACCATATTCCTGCCCTTTTGGGACATTGTCCATGGTCTGGGCCCTAAGGAGAGCCAAAGGACAGTAAGTCCCATCACAGCTGCAGTGGTTTTAGGCAGCATGACGGGGGCGTTTAGGGGGTTGGCATTTGGTGACAGAGACTGGCACGGCCAGAGGGAGGTGTGGAGGGCTGTAAGTGAGAGCAGAGTGGGGAATGTGGGCTTTGGGGATTTGGAAGGGAATCCTCATGGACCTCTGAGGAGAGGATGGCTGTGGTCGTGTGTGTGGTGCTGGGAGGAGAGCACCTGGACTGGGAGGTCAGGGAGAAGATGATCTGTGGGGGAAAGCAAGGGGCTGGGAAGGGGTGGCCCTTGGGGAGCTGCAGAACCACGCTGGTGGATGAGAAGAGGTGAGGTGGAGGGAGGAGGAAGGGGTGCCAGTGTATGGGGGAGATGGGATCTCGTCTGTGTCTTTGTGGCCTGATTTGGTGGTGAGGCTGAAAACAGAGTTGGTCCAGGAGGCTGTGTGGCAGATCAACCTCTTCCATACTGACTACAGCTGACAAAGCAGGCGTGGGTGGTTTCTTCACACCCCTCGTGTCTGTGGGCATCGGGGTAGGGGCCACAGTCATCCCAGTCTGTGGAGAGAGCAGCCTCGCCCTGCTGCAGAGTTACTCTGGCTCACACTGATTCTGTGGAAGGGTTTTGCTTAAGCAGCTCCACATCTCTGCAGCCAAGTGGCTGACTTAGCTCTCTCAGGTAATTAAAAGCATTTATTGGCTGCTTCTGTTCAAGACTTCCAGTCACAGAAGTGCCCTTGACAAGCACCAGCACTCAATAAAAGTGTGCAGGCTCAGAGGAAAGGATTTCCTGCAGCAGGGAGGCTCGCAGGAGCCTGAGCCTGTCTGTGTGTGCTGCAGCTGCCTTCACCCCTCCATGGCCAGGCTGGGCAGGATTTCTGCACTGCTACTTCTCCCTGGGATTCCCAGATGGCACAACAGCTCAGCTGGAATGATCACACTGGGTCACCAGCCTGCAGCCTCTCTTGTGTGGCTCACTCATCTCTCTAATGACTTTCTGTTGCGCTGAGTAATTGTGCAATTACATCTCTCAGAGCAGCTGTGCCAGCCTTCCAGAGAAACTAAATAAATCCCTGTTAGCCTTTCCTAAATGGAGAATATGCTTCTTTTCCCAGCTCCTCCTAAAAAGGGGGGCTGATGATGCTGCAGTAATGCAGCAGAGAGGCTGTGGCTGCCCCATCAAGGGGCAGGTTGGACAGGGCTTGGAGCAACTGGGCTAGTGGAAGGTGTCCCTGCCCATGACAGGGTGCAATGAGATGGGCTTTAAGGACCCTTCCAGCCCAAACCATTCCATGAATGTTAAACAGCTCTGTGCACCTCCCTGTGCTTCTCAGTACATTACATGCTTTGAATCCCAGAGTAGAACTGCTGATCCTCAGTTACATTTTCATTTGCAAGGTCAGTGGTTAGGTAAGGTCTTGGGCTTCCCATCACACATCCACCAACTCAGCACATTGCCTTTGACCTTGTGAATACTTGGATCCATGTCCTACTAAGCCATGGATAAAATCAGCTCAGTGCTCTCCCAGTCCAGTCTCGAGACAACCACAAGTGTCCCAGAAGTGCTGGTTGTCACTGGTGTGGAAGAGCGGGGACAGATCTGTGTGTTGTAGAACCTGAGGGACAGGCAAGGGGGATTGCTGGGTACAGCCCTTGACCACGACAAGCTCTAGGCCCTTCTAAGAGCATCTCTGTGCCTTTGCCAGTTAGCCCTTTCCCTCTTCACCTTCTGTTTTTAAGCAGCTTTAGTTTTATTTTTAGAAGGGAAAGTGTGGAGCCTGTCACGTGTGAAAAGCAGAGTGTCTGTGTGTCTCCTGGACATGCTTCCTGCCTCCCAAAGCAGGGTAGCAGCCAATTCTTTGGCTAAAAATATTCAATTCACGTCGCTTGTGGAAGGAGACACCAGCACCAGCTGCAAGCTGTGGGCACTGTGAGTGTGTGGGACCACTGATACCTAAGAAAGCGCCTCTCTGACCTGTCTCTTAAAATATCTTGCTTTTTTTTCTTAATTTAAGCTTCTGACATCTAGTAAATGCCAGCCTCTAAGCTGTTTTGATAGAACCTTGATTGATAACCTCCGCGTGCTGGCCTGCCTAAGAGAAATTGTTAGTTTTGTGGCTCAACAATAGCAATGTCTGTCCCTTCCTCTGATTCACTTTTTGCACGCAGAGATGAAATCAAGTTGAAGAACGAGAATCTCAGAGAAAAAGTACCTTTCAAAAAAAAAGTAAAGCAGACAGACACAGAGAAAGCTTAGCCTTTAAAACAGGATTAGCAGGAGTCTTCAGAACTTTACCAAGAGATTCAAAAGCCGCTGTCAGAGAGATTACTCATTACATTCCAGAGTTCAGGAAGTGTTCGGACAGCACTCTCGGGGCACATGGATGGGTTGTTGGGTTGTCCTGTGCAGGGCCCGGAGTGGGACTTGACGATCCTTGTGGGTCCCTTCCCATTCAAGATGTCCTGTGATATGATCTCTGCTGTCCTGATCCCGTTCAGCAGGCCAGGAAAGCCAGTCTGAGCAGTGCTCCCACGTGCCAGCTGTGTGTTTACTGAGGGCATGTTCTGACAGTGGTTTGGGGTGCTTTTTTTCAGATGAAAATGAGTGTGAGCAGAACAACGGAGGCTGCAGTGAGTTCTGTGTGAACCTGAAGAACTCCTACCGCTGCGAGTGCGGGGTCGGGCGCACGCTGGGCAGCGACGGCAGAACCTGTGAAGGTGAGGCTGCAGCTGCCACAGGGACAGCAGGAATCATTCCCTCTCCCTTGCAGCACTGCTTCTCTCCTAGCTCCTTGCAGCTGGGATTAAATGTCATTCGTATCACCTCTGTGCTTGCCAGTGGGGTTGTTCCCAAAATATCCTTCTAAGCAAGCAGAGAGAAGTCTCCTTGTTGTTCTCCCTGCCTCATTCACTTGTGTTAGGATTTGCTTGTGTTTACCTCCGTGGGGGAAAGGCAGCAGTGAATCTGGAAAACTGGTTGTCCACACGGAACCGGTTATTGCTGGAGTTGCTGGGATTTGGCTCTGGAGATTTGGGGGGGGGACAGATTTAGCATTGCTGGGGTTTGGCAGCTGACCCTAGGTATGGGGTAATGTCATGACATTAGACTAGAGCATGAGGATCACTTTAGCCTCCTGGGGCAGAGACTGAGGAGAGGGGTGCCAGTGTGTGAACAGAAGTTAGATTTGAGATTTGGGCTGCATTTTGGCTGTTTAGTGTCTGTGAGGGGTTAGCTGTGGGCTCATCTGCTACAGCTCCTTCCCAGGAGTGGCACAGCCAGGCTGAAAACCCTTGATGAGTTTAGACTGGTGGCTTAAAGACCAAATGGTAGGTTTGATCTGTTGTCACTAACAGTATACAGACATCTCTGGGGCAGAAATAGGCAAACCCAGCAAAAATAGACTTGTACCTGATGTTTTCTGTGGTGAGCTGTGAAGAGCTCTGTGCCCCCTCCAAAGCAAAGCCGCTGTGTGGGGTGTTCACAGATACTGTGGGGCCTCAGACAAGAAAAACAGCTGCAGATGTGCCTCACTTTTCAGCTGCCCAGAAGAGCTCAATCTGCTCCCTGAGCTGTGTTAGCAAAACATCACTCATGCAGGCAGTGACACTGCCCTGGGAATGCTGTGCAGAGAGCTCCTGAAGTCCTTGTCACATCATGTGGGGCCAAAAATGGTCTGTGAGCTTTGTCCCTTCCACATCCAGCTCTGAGCTGGTAGGAGGTCACGTAAACCAGCTGTGCAGTTTTTATTCCTCACACTCTTCTGACAGGGCTGGAATAGTCTGTCTGGAAACTTGTTTGTGCTGTTCCCAATGTTGGCTTTTAGGGCCTTTGATATATCATTTAATTTCCCCTTCTGTAAGAAGGATGGTGCTTTTCACAAGTTTAACACTGCTGCTGGGGATTTTTACAGTCTTGTTAGTGAGTTTTATTTCTAAAGATGTGCCCTCAGCTTTGTGAGCCCTTAGAGGATGTGATTTACTTGTGAGCCGCCTCACAGCTGTGGCTAAAAAGAACAAATGCGAGAGATTTAGTTTGATTACATGAGCTGCTGAGGCTGAGTAGGGTTAAAAGTATTATATTCCATTAGGATGCTATACCCATTACTTTGACTCATATGGAGTGTTCAGGCTCTTGTTTTCCATGCACTGTATAGGGGTCAGTATGGGATTTCCATTCTTTTCTTTACATTTCAGTGAAAACCACAGAGTCATTTCTGATGGCAGCCTTGAGGAGAAATATTTTGTATTTATGATTTGTTTATCTCATGTACTGTTGTTTCAGTGAGAACAGTAGTACTCATCTAGCATACTCATCCCAAAGGGTTAAAAAAAATCAAGCAGTGAAGATTATTTCCAAAAAAATCATGACCCTGTTATTTTTTTTATAATAGGAAGCCAACAAGAGCTGGAAATGGCCTTACTTTCCTTAGGTTTTCAAATGTTCAGAATGTGTCTGGATGACCTTTCTGGCTCTTTTCTGTAGCTGTAGTAGCCAGAAATATGTTTTACACAAAAACTCAGGTCCTCAGAGAGTTGCCTCACCTGAATGGATAAGATGTAAGACATGACACATCCTCCAATTAGCTGTGCTGCCCTCCCTCCTCTGCTCTTGACAATGGGGGAAAATTAGGAAGGGAATGAACTTTACGCTGTGAACTCTTGTCATTCTGTCCCTGAGCCAACCTCAAAGCCTTAGAACTCCCAAACCAGCAGAATTCCTGCTAAAGAAACTCCTAGGAGCAGAGTTTCATCCTCACCCTACAGAGAGGTTGAAGGAATCTGGTACAGCCACCCCCCTCACAGCTGGGAAACCCAGGGGGAATGAGCACATCATCTTTTCTCTGGTGTTCCCTGCTGGAAATAGGAGCTGGCTCCCTGCAGGGCTGTCCTCCCCAGGGCAGCTCCCCTGCAAAGCTCAGGGCTGTCATTCCGCTGGTGATGAAGGGAGGGAGTGAGGCAGAACTTTTAAGAGGATTTTCCTCCCACCTTTTTGAAGTAAGAAACAACATAAAAATTTAGTTTATAAGAGGATGTCTCAGGAGAGACAAACAACAAGGGCATGTAGTGACAGGACAAGGGGGAATGGTTTTAAACTGACAGAGGGCAGGTTTAGATGGGATATTGGGAAGAAATTCTTCCCTGTGAGGGTGGTGAGGGCCTGGCACAGGTTGTCCTGAGAAGTCGTAACTGCTCCATCCCTGGAAGTGTCCAAGGCCAGGCTGGATGGAGCTTGGAGCAACCTGGGATAGTGGAAGGTGTGGAACAAAATGGTCTTTAAGGTCCCTTCTTACCGAAGCCATTCTATGATCTTTAAAGGGCCAAGGTGCAGATTGCCTACTCAGTGGGATTTAATTTGGTAAGCTTTTTCACAGAATTCCGTGTTAACCTCATGGTGAAATGACAAAGACAGGAAACTGTACAATTAAAAAGAGGGTTTCCACTGCATTTTCTTGGAAGCAAGCTCTGCCCATGCTGCTGCCTTGGAGCTGTGTTGGCCACAGTCTCTGTTGGTCAGGGGTACGTTGGGGCCCTCAGGGTGTGCTGACTTTCCTTTCTCTCCCAGAAATCGAAGGCTGTCACAACAACAACGGAGGCTGCAGCCATACCTGTATTGAAGTGGAAGACACCTACCAGTGTGAATGTCCAAGGGGACTTGTTCTATCAGAAGACAACCACACTTGCCAAGGTAGGTCAACAAAATCTCCCCAGCAGCCTCTGTCCCCCAGAAGTCTGTCTGAAGGAACTTTTCTTCTTGGTTTTGTTGTCTTAGTCTGTCCTTTCCAGTTTGATTAGTGGAGCTTTGTCATTAATGACAGATCATCCAGAACTGAGAGCCTGAAGGCATTGCTCTTTTAACCAGGCAGGAGAACAGCCACAGGGCCCTCCTGGGTGCCTCTTGCATCACGGGTGGTTTTGGCAGAGTTCACTTACAATTAAGATTGCGTAATATCTCCTGTTGTACTGCTCTGCTTCGGCTCTGTGTGCCTCTGACAAACTGGTGCTGTAGAACTGACATTTTCCATGCTTCAGACTTGAAAATTTTCAGCTCAAGTGGTTCAGTCACTTCCAACAATGGGGTTAAAAAGAGAGGCATGTTTTCTCCAAGTATCTCAGTAGCCATTCCAGTGAGCATTCCTATGCCTTGAAGCAGGGCACTAGCTTTGATACAGGGTGTTCCTGCTGTCCCTTGGAAAAGTGCCTGGGATACATCCTTGCATAGAGGCAAGGACAGCATTATCCTTGGAAAACCTTCCATGTGAACTTTACACAGGGAGCCTTCCTGCTGACTCACTCACACCTATGGCATGCACATGGAATGAACAGGTTCCATTTTTGGGATGGGATTTCCTTTACAAATACATCCCAAGCTACCAGCAGTCTGGTGTCTCCTGGTGTGCTCAGAGAACCTCTTGCAGTCTGATGTGTCACAGAGTGCCCAGACACCAGCTGGAGGGACAGATTCAGACTTCACAGGGGCCAACAGGGCAGGTGTGTCTCAGAGAGGAACTTGGAATGGTCCTGCTTGATGGAATTTCTGCTTTTTTTGAAGCCTTTTAGAAGTGCAGGGCTCCCAAGGGTGAGCACTGCACACTTGGGATCCCGCAGTGCTGCTGGGGGAGGTGGAGGTGGCATTTCCAAGGGCTGTGACTACATTCACTGATTGAAGGTCTGATGGATGGATACAGAGCAATGATTTTCAGTCCTGGCTCTCTGAGGCAACCCCAGCAGGGTTGGGAGCCCTGGGTTTCCCAGCCAATGTTTCTCCTGCTTGTGAGGCTGCTTACTGAGAGCAGCAGCACTGCCGGGGCCAGGCAGGGCTGGGGATGCAGCATCTCATGGAGTGGAATTGCTTGTTCCTCTCCATGTCATGGATTTATGTTCCTGTGCACTGGTCTGCAGTTCTGAGCAGATATGGAGCTGTACCACACAAATTTTTATGAGATCTAATCAGGTTTATATTGGTTCAATTAGCAGTGCAGGGCAGGCACAGTTGCCTGAAGCAATTGGCTGTGCAGCCTCTCCACCCTCCTCTGCGCTGTCTCTACGTTCAGAACACACATTAATAATCTTCCACAGAAACCAGTCTTGACTACAATTTTTCCACAAAGATACCAGCCAGCAAAATACTTGGAATTTTGCAGCCCATCCTAGTACCCCACATCTTTCTGAAGTGCAGGGGGAAATGCTTTTCCTCCTCCCTCCTCTGCCCAAGCTTTTTGTGCCTGTAGGCAGGGTACGACACTGTAATTGGTGTATAGCAGTGGGTCAGGGAATCTGTTCTGCTGGGCAGTCTGTGCAGAAGGATAACCTCTGCTCCAAGCAGCTGCACTTTGGAAGGCTGAGGAAGGAACCAGAGGCTGGAACACAGTGCCAACAACAGCAGACAGCAAAAATGAGCATTGGGCTCACCAGAGAAGCTTCCTACCAGGGTCAAGTGTTGGTGCAAAGCAGAGTTTAAAGTGGAAATGGGGAGGCTTTCCCAGTACTCACAGGTGATCTGTGGTGTATGAGGGTGAAGAACTGAAATGTTTGATTGGCACAGCCTGGATGAGGCTCTCAGGAGCAGGACATGGATGCTGACAGCAAGTCAGGAGGGTGCAGAGCTGGCATCAGCTCTCTGAACGGATGCCAGAGGTTGGGAATAAAAGTGGGCTCCTTGGCATCAGGATAACTCATTTCTGCTGGGCATCTCAGTCCTGGCAGTCGGGACCTCACTGCTTACCCTGGAATAACATGTTGTCTGCACACCTTGTCATCTCCTTTGCAGCTCCCCTGTCCTGGGGGAAGGGGGTCTGCTCAGAGCCGGATCGCGCTGAGGCACCGGCTCTGCTCGCAGCACCACTGACAGATTGGTAGAACTGAAACACTGCTCTCAGCACTGGTTACTATTCCTTGGACAAATGTCTGGGGTGGTTTGAATTGCATTACCAGCTCCTCTGACATGGTCAGTATGAGGAGTTTCCCCCAGTGTTTTCCCAAAGAGCCAGGATTTGTCTTGATTCACCAGTGGATCTGCCTGCAGGTTTCCTTCACTTGTTTCTGTGTGCACACACAGGTCCTGCAGTGCCAGAGCATGGAGGCAGTGGGGTCTTCTTTCTCCTCCTTTGTGCCAATCAAAGACATGCAGAAACAGAGATATCCTTAACCAAACTGGTCCTGAACTTAGGAAAATTGCAGCTGGGGTATGAACTGTCTTGCTCTGAACTGCACCTTTATAGAATAAAAGCATGACATTTTCTTATTTATCAAGGAGTCACTAGGACAGTGAGGCTTTATATCCAGATTGAGCCCATCAGTTCTTCGGAGGATGTTCCTCTGTGTGCACTGTGCTGTGTTCCAAAGTCTCTTTGTCTCCTCCTGAGCTTTGCCATCCGACGTGCTCCGTTATTCCCACTGCCGATGGGGGGGAAGTTAAGGTAGTTCTCAGTTCTTTAAGCTTCTGTTCTAACCCAGCAATGTCATTATGGGAGCATATTGCTGTGGGCACTCTGCATACATTTTAGCATATCACCTTGAAAAGATCAAGTTTTTATTAGGAGTCCTCCCTGCAGGTGTAGAGGCTGTTACAAATACCTTGGCTAGAACAGGAGAATGTTTTTAAGGGGAGTAAAAGGCGTGTCTTAGCAGTGTACCTTGTATTCAAGATCCAGAATCCTAAATTATGTAATTAATGACCAAAGTTAAGGGAAAGCAGGTCATACGAATGTCAAGGACTGAGACTGTAATTTTGGCAAAAAGCTTGGGCAGCTAGTAGATTTGCAAAAAGTTTTGTTGTGGGATTTTAAAATATAATAAAGGGAAATACTGTAAGGGGATTGTTTTTCTGGCACCAGTACACTTGTCCTGTCTCCCAAGGAATATATATATAGCAATTACTTTTTTATTGAAGATTATTCTCTCTTCTTTCCTTTTTCCTTTTGCCCAAGCTGTATGTTTTCTGCCGCTTCTTATGTAATGGAATGGTAATTTAAAAAAATTCACATGGAGACCTGTATTAAAAATTCAGAGGTTGGAAGGAGGTGGGAATGAGTGAGGTAATTGGGTTTGTTTGTCAGAGCTGGGTTTATTGCTTATAAAAATATTATTATGGCATTTTGAGGTGCTTCCATTTTAGCTTGGTATCTATATGGAATTACTCTGCCTTGTTCTGATGTGTTCTGGATTTGATGTAAAATCTGATTAAGGGTCTTAAAAAATGGCTTTGCCTGGGGTGTTGTGAATTTGATATTCGTATCTGGCAAAGGCTCTTCCCAGGACATAGATAGCAGTGCAAGAGATATCAATCAAACCTGTGCTGAGTATTAAGTAAAGCTGGAAATGCTGCACAGCCAAGTTTCTGCTTCAAGTGCGGTGATTGTCTTCATTGTTTTCTGAGGCCTCGCTGTGGCTGGAGAATTTGGGGCCGTGGTAGTTCAGGTTTGTGTTGTGTAGGTAGGAATGCAAGATAGGCAGTTCCTGTGGGGAGATAGTAATGATAAATGCTGCACAGGATTCCCCTTTTTTCCCAATAATAACTGGTACAGCCCTTCCCCAGCTCTCTGGTAGCTTTGTAGTGCAGAATGCTATTATGGAGACTTCTCTTGCAGTTCCAGTGCTGTGCAAGTCGAGTTCTATCGAGGTGAACATCCCAAAGGACCTGGTTGGAGGCCTGGACCTTTCCCTCATCAACACTTCGTGCAAAGGCGTCTCCAACGGCACTCACGTCAACATCCATTTCTCCCTGAAGTCCTGTGGTACTGTTGTAGATGTATGTACTGTACCCTGGCTCTTGGCATCTCTGCATTTGGGGACTTGGCTGTGGCTTCCTTGGGGAATAGGGTTGGTTTAGCTGTACTGTCAGAGCAGTTTCCTGTGTTGCTGTGCAGCTGGTCTCTGAGTAGACCCGGGCTGACATCCCAAAGTAGGAGAGCTTGTTCCACCTCCCCTCCAGTGGTGTGTCTGTCAGCGTGGGTGCTGCTTTCTGCTCACCTGGTGCGTCACAGAGGGAGCTTCACTGTCACGCCAGTGCAGAAGGCACAAGTGCTGTCACTCCTCACCCTCCTGTTGAGATGGATTCTGGTCTCCTCTTCCAAAAATTAAACTGGCAGCTGGTCAGGAACCAGAGAGCCCATCTTAGCAGATGGGTTGCACTGGAAGCCAATTTCTCAGCTTGCTGCAGGAGTGCAGTGCATCACAGCCAACAGCAAACTGAGCCCTTGGTTGGTAAGTGAGGGTGAACATCATTCTGGTTGCAGCGTATAAATTCACAGAGCTGTGCCTTCCGTGGCTACTTGGGGTGTCCTGAACAAAGTCAACCCAGAGAGGTCCTTCTCAGTGATCTCCCCTTTCCCTTCAACACCTCTCTTTGCTGCAGGTAATAGATGACAAGATCATTGCCACCAACCTGGTGACCGGCTTGCCGAAGCAGACCCCAGGCAGCAATGGGGACATCATCGTGCGCACCAGCAAGCTGCTGATCCCGGTGACCTGCGAGTTCCCGCGCCGCTACACCATCTCCGAGGCCTACGTGCCCAACCTCAAGAACTCGCCCCTGGAAATCATGAGCCGCAACCAGGGCATCTTCCCTTTCACCCTGGAGATCTTCAAAGACAAAGACTTTGATGAACCCTACAGGGGGGCTCCTCCCACCCTCAAGCTTCGGGACTCGCTGTACTTTGGGATTGAGCCCTTGGTGCACGTCAGTGGACTAGAGACACTTGTAGAGAGCTGCTTCGCCACTCCCACCTCCAAAATCGATGAGATCCTCAAGTACTACCTGATTCAAGATGGGTGAGTTCACTGTTCCCTCTCTTGCTGGCTGTTGGATGGGAATTGGCAGTGGGGCTGAGTTGTCTTGTCTGTGTGAGGCAGGAAACACTATCCCTTCTCCACAGCAGTTTATCTGCCCTGCTCCCAGCAGTCACCAGCAGCCATCAAGCTGAAAACACCTGTCCCATCAAAAGTAATTGGGAGAAACTGTGGGAGACAGTGAAAGAGGTTACTCCGAGTGCAGCCTTTACAGGCCATATTTCCCTGTAACTAGCTTTGTGGATAATTGAGTTGGCTCCTGTAGAAAAGATTCTCTTTCCTGATATCCTCTCCCTGCCAGCCACAGACTGCCAAACCAATGGGCAGAACCCCCTGATGGCCATGTGCTGCTGCCAGCCAGCTGCTGCAGCAACTGGAGCAAGTTTCTTGATTTTCTCATAATGGCCTTCTTACAGCATGAGCCAGAAGACTCCATTGCTGATCCTAGTTGAAGCTCCAGGAGCATCCCTCTCTCTGATGTCAGTGCAGCAAACTTAGGGTCCCTCAGATTGGCTGTAATTTTCTGGGGGTTAGTGATCTTTGCAGGATATGCTAAAAACAATTCTGTGTGGATCTGTGGGTTCTCTGTAGTGGGTTTTGCATCAGAGGTTTGGGGAGCACTGCTGGGGGCTCAGCTGTGGCTCCTAAGATGATCCCTGTTTTCAGACACTTCTCTGGGTGCCAAAATGACTGTGCCATGCTACAGCATTGCTGTGGAGTGTTTGCATGCAGGAGCTTAACCAGACAATGCTGTGGAAATGTCACAGTCTGCTGTTCCTCTAGGGAGGGAAGTTCAGTCCAGGAAATATCTAAGACATACCCGCAGTGTTGTAGCCTGGCAGTCAAGATACTGTGCTTGTGTAAGCCCTGTGTGTTGTCTTGGGACCATCTTGCCAGACCATCTAATGAGGACAACAATTATTTCCTCACCCACCCTTACAGCTGGTGATGACAAGTCCTGTGTCGTTGTCTCACAGCAAAAGGGTCCTGCAGTGTAAAGTACCCAGAAATTCTCTTTTCATCTCCCAATGAAGGATTCAGCTCTCCCTCCATCCTAGGCTGCAGTCCTTCTGTGCCTGACATTTCTGGGCTTTATGAGCAGATTTGTAATGGGAGAATTGATTTTATTGACTCCCTGCCTCGGCTCTTCCTGTGGACCCTTCACAGAGTCAAGGCTCCAAACATTGATTAATTTCTCCTCATAAGTGATGGGATTCAAAACAGCAACCAAAACCTGAGCCAGATGGAGAAGGGAGAAGGCAGCAAATGTCATGCCTTAAATTCACCCCAGCACTAGTTGGAGGATTTACGGCACCGGCAGCCCCTTGGTACCTGCAGAGGGCATTGAAACTTCATCGAAGGGAAAAGTGGGCTGGAGCCTCATCCAGCCTGCTCCTCTCTGCAGCCTCACTGCAGGCCCCAGTGTCCCCAGTGTCCCCACACACACCACCCCCGTGGGCTGGGCTGTAGTTAAACTGCTCACTAATGATGTGCTATCGAACTAACTGGGGTTCTTTGTCTCTCTCTGTGCTTGCAGCGATTCAAAAGTAAAATTAGCTGAATAAATACTCTGCTGAGTTGTCCCTGCTCCAGACAGTTCTGTAATAACCCAGTTTCCTTCCAGCAACCCAGCCCCAAAAGCCCAGGGCAATAAAGATGGGATTTTTAAATTATTTCGATTATGTAGGATCAGACCTGCAGGAGTTAACTGCAGCTTCCAGAGGGGAACACTGTTCAAATTTGAGGGGATTTACCTTGGACTTAGGGATGGGGAAATTCTCTCTACTGCTTCCTTCCCTGCCTTCTCCAGTCAGCAAGAGGTGGGAGCTGTGGGACTCCAGCCTTCTCCCTGTGCTGATGTGACCACCCTGGAAACCAGGATTTTTCCAGGTCCCTCCCCTGTAGTACCCTGCACTGCTGCTAGCCCAGCCAACCCCAGAGCAGCTCTCCTGCTTCTGATCTGTTCTTCCTCTCTCTGAAAGCACAATGCAGCCAAAGGCACTGACCAAAGGCCCAGGTGATCAGTGTTGAAGCTCTCTGGGGCACCCGGAGCGAGGTCGTGTCAGGCAGGGCAGTGTGCTGTGGTCAGGAACTGTGCTTTAACTGAGCACCACGGAGTGAAGGGAGTTCCACTGCAAGGCTCACCTCGGTTACACCTCAGGCTGCCCCTCATTTGTAGGCTGAGGTGGATATTTTATTCTCCAAACCCTCCTTTCTACCTTAGAACCCCCCAGTAAATGGGTCAGAGCACAGCTCCCGTGGCACTGCCAGTCTGCTTCCTGAACTTAAAGCACAATATGCACAGAAAAGCATTATTTTCCCTGTATCCTGAGCAGGCTCATCCATTTTCCTTCCTTACCCGTGCTCCCTGTCCTTCCCTACCTCTCCAAGGTGGGAGACAGGGTCTGGGAGTTTCCTAGGAGAGTGGATTAGGGTATGGCCCCCCACAAAATGCAAAAGGGCTTGTCCCCATGACTCAGGAGGTTTCTGAGCTGGTTTTGTCCATATATCCCTGATTCTTGCTTGATGTTCTCCCATCTCCCTAACCCCAAACCAGTATGTTTCCTGCCACCAGTGTGGCAAACCTTTGGAGAACTTGAGGTTTAGGAGTCAGTTTGAGCCGGTGTCCAAGAATCATCACAGCTGATGTGCTCACAAATGAGGACAGCCCTACGAGTTGACTTCACAGCCCCAAAGCTTAGCCAGTCACCCATGACAAGTCTTTAACTGTCATTCCTTACAGTCAGATGCCTTCAGGAATACTGCTTTTAACAGCAGTTTTATTCTAAACAACTGAGTGTGTTTGGCCTCAGGGGGGAGGAATCTGTCCGGTTTTGTAGATGCACAGTGGTGGTTTATCAGCTCCCTGGGTTTTGTGTTTGCCTCCAGGGAAGTGCTGCAGACAGGGATATCCCTTGAGGCCATGGAGAAATAGTGGTGAAAATAATACTGGGATCAGAGCAGTGCCTAGTGCTCCCAGGAGCATGTGCTGCTCTCCTGTATGGAGAGCATGATCATATATTGCTAGTGATGGAAAAATTGAAATTATTAATTTAATGCAGTGAATTTGAGCTGTCTGACCAAGTCCAGCAGGAAGAAATATGTAAATGATACAAAGCAAATTTGTTTTTTTTTTTGCTTTCATCATCTGTGATATTTTAGTAATGTGTGTACAGGCTTCATTTTAAGCATAATTTATGTGCATATATATGTGTACACAGAAGTACATAACACATTCAACAGTGTATAACACTGCAGACTGTTGCACAGGAAGGTGAAAGGAGGACAGACTTGCCTGCAGCTCTCTGGCAGTCCCTCTCTGAGGGGACTGGCCCAGGTCCTGCCAGCTCTCTGCTGCTGAGCTGTCCTTTGTCTGGAGATGCTATTAGCATTGCTGTTGTTTTCCCCCATCGTTCCCAATTTTCTCCTGTGGCCAAAGAGGAAGTAGCAGGGATGGTAGCTTAGCTTGAGAGAGCCAAGCCCTCCTTTCCTTTCTCTGGTTAAGTAGGCTGGAATGTCTTTTTCCACTTCTGGGAAAGCCATTAAAAGCCTGTCCCTCTGCTTCCCTCAGCTGCGTGTCCGATGACTCCGTGAAGCAGTACACGTCAAAGGACCATCTTGCCAAGCATTTCCAGGTTCCTGTGTTCAAGTTCGTGGGCAAAGACAACAGGGTAAGCTCAAAACTCAGCTCTCAGGTGATTGCATCAGCTCTGATCTGACCAAGGAATCTCAGCACCAGGGTGGCTGTGTGAGAGTGCAAAGGGGAGGAATGGCTGGGCTAAGGCAGGTGCTGCTGGGCCTGTTCCAGCAGCTGTGTCTTTCAGGAGCCTGACACAGGTGCTTTGGGACAGACTGATAAAAGCAACTAAAATTAGGTTGTGGAACATCAATGCCATAGCAGGCTAAAATCATTGTTGTGTCCAAGGTGGTCTTAGTGGACCCCCGTATGCTGGGCGAGAAGGTGTTCCCAGTCACCAGGCACATTTTGCAGTGTCCTGTCTTCAAAACAGGACAGTCTATAGTTTGGAATCTCTTCAACCTAGTGTCTTCTCTAGCTCTTGGGAGTACAGATGCCAGGATTCCAGATGCAAGGTCACCATCCTGTTCAGTTCAGTGTGAAACCCGGCCGTCCAGGCCAGTGGCACTCTGGGGCAGAAGCTCAGTAGTGAGAGGGCAGTTGAAGGATAATCCCATTTCCCTAATGCAAACAGCTTTCCTTTTCTGTACTGGAATAAACTGGGTCTTCCAGTCATTGTTATGCTCAGCCAACACTGCTTACTCCACAAGGTATAAAGCTGCTGCTCCAGCTACCAGAGAGCCTCATCAGGGCTAAAACAAATGAGATCTTCCAAAATTCAGGAATTTTTCTTGGCCATCTGATTGCCACTGCTGTCTCCACCCTGCATCCTCCCAGCCTGAGCCATGGATTCTGCTTCAAACCACACCATTGATCATGTATTTGTGACTGCTGCTTGCAGGGATCTTGCTTCTTCTCCTTGTCATGTATGGGGCAGGGAGCAGCAACCCTGTCACTGCCTTTGCTGTGCAGGATAACAAGGCAGCTGTCTCCCTGCTCTTTGCATTCTCCTCCTTCCCTCAGCCCCTCATCACTAAGTGTTTTCCTCCTTTCCCCCTCAGATTCTTAGCTTTATGTTTTCTCAGCCCACTTCAAATCCTCTTGCACATTTCTCTCAACCCATCTCTGTGTGAGGCTTCACATGTTCTTGACCTGCTCCCTGCCATGCAGCTCCTGCCAGTCCATGCAAGTTCTTCCAAGCTTATTCCTGGCGTTTTCATCCCTTCTTCTGGAGGATCCTTTCCTGCCTTCCTATCCCCTGTGTGTGCCCCCTTGGCTCACAGACAGATGCCCTGAGATCTCAGCCGGGCACAGCCGGAGCGGCCGGTTTGGCTGCGGGTGGCGATGGTGGATACAGACCCTGTCGGTGCGGGGACAGAAGTGGCTGTGCCATGGCAGTGGTGTGGCTCGTGCTGTGCCAGCAGTGCCAGTGATTCCCAGAGCACTGACCCCGTCCTGCTGTGTCCCCACCCCCAGGAGGTGTTCCTGCACTGCCGCATCCTGGTGTGCGGGGCCCTGGACGAGACGTCCCGCTGTGCCCAGGGCTGCCGGAGACGCGCCCGCAGGGCGGCCGAGGAGGAGGAGGAGAAGGGATCTGTTCATGTGGCAAACCACATCCTGACAGGGGGCCCCATCAGAATCGACTTTGACGACTGACACCCACCCTCTGGAACAGCATCTCCGCCTGAGAGCGGCCTTCCTTATCAGTGCCTTCCTTATCAGTGCCTTCTGCCATGGCTGTTTGAGAAACAAGAGGTATTTGGCAAAGCCCCACTTGCACCTCAGGACTCATTTCCTGAACCCTGCGATGATTATTTGTGAGTGTTTTGGACACCTGGACTGCAGAATGGTTTGGTTTTACCTGCGTTTCTTCCCAGCAACCCTTTGGCTGAAGGGACCCTGTTGCTTTGCAGACCGGAAGCGTTTCCCAGCTTTCTCTTTCCCTACATCCACCTACAGGCTCCAGGACTGTTCGTCCTTGGCTAAACAAATGTTATCCAAGGTCTTCTTGCATCAGACAGTACAAATAGTATCGTAGCTGAACGTGTTTGCCGTGCAGTTCTGTGAGCGATGCTGAAGCTTCTGGGTGACTGTTAATAAAAACAAGTATAAAATATTCTATCTCATCATTTGTAAATTCCCTGGAGTTGTACAATTGTTGTTACAGGCAGCTAAAGCTCAGCTCTATCACAGGCACATTTAAATGTTATTTTAAAAAGTGAAAGGTATTTAATAAGATTTGATTTTTTAGTGTCTTTTGGTAATTGCATGCAGTTTAATAGTGTTTCTGCCTATATTTAGTGTATCATTATTTTTCTCCCTCTTCTCCCACCACCAAAAATGCCTTTGCTAAGTGCTCTGGCACCTTGATTGTAAGAGAAGCACCATTAAACATCTACAAACACCCCCCTCCCAGGCGTGCTGCTACCAAATGTTTGTTTGGAACTTGTGAGGCTTCACCCCGTTAGAGAGACCGTGGCTCCAACGGAGGGATTAGAGGAATGCACAGCAATTATTTACAGGAATCACTTGTAATGTGGGCAGTTCTCAGGACAGGGCTGTCCCCTGGTGACAGGAGACACCAGGCAACCTTGTTCAAGTGCCTGTGGCTGGAGACACAAGGACTGGTGGCATCATGGTTGTCAGGAATCTCTTGGGGCTGTCAAGCTCCTTCCAAAGAAAACATAACGGATGATCAGCTCAGTCTCCTCTGGGCTTCACTCGGGAGTGGGAGCGCTGCGAGGTGAAGGATTGGGGATGTGGGGTGAAAGGAAGGAGGCCCAGTGAGCAGTGAAGGACAAAGGAGAGGCAGGAACAAGGATGAGAGAGGAAGGATCCGTCTCCACCACCAGCTGTGGCACTGCAGTGCATTCCTGAGGTTTTCTGCAAGAGGCTTCTCCATGTGCAGCTCCGTCCTGCGTGTTTGGAGGTCTGCTGGAAGGCCCCTATCCTTCATTACCTGTGTTCTGCTTTGGTTGGAGGCAGCCAAATTACTGCAAAAAAGATTTGTTGCTGCTTTCAAATTAATGGGGAGCCTGTTTGAAGGGATCATTTAGAAGGGAGTCACAAATTACCTCAGCAGTATTCCATTTCACAGATTTATTTGTTCTGGCAAGTGAGATTCCAGTGAGGAATGGGCATTTAATGGGCTGAGAGTTTCATGACTTTTCTAAATGGCTTCATGGCTGCTTTTCCAATCTGGGAATATGTGTGTATTTTAGAGTAAATCATCATTTCTGTGATGATAAGTAGGTATAAGTGGAAAGACACTGTTCCTGTGTTATCTAGCCATATGTGAAAGAAAAAGAGAGGAAAAAGCCTCCTCCTAGGATTGCTGTTCTGCTGATTCACATCTGCATTAGGACCACACGGGTAGTTTCTTCCTGTCACTTCTTTGTTCAGGCAGCCCTTGCTATATATACTTGTTTTGATAAAACAAGTGCTGGGAAATTAAATTAATGATCTGGGGCCTTCTGGAGAGGGAACTGGTGTTGTTTGTTCATGTGAAAGGGATGTGGGGGAGTGATGGAGGGAGAGGTTCCTTTCCTGGCTTATTTCAGTTATTGTCCACGTTATTTAGCTCTTCCTGGCAAGTTCATGTGAAGCAGCTTTTCTGCTCTGCAGCTCTTTAGCTAAGAAATCCAGATTGGGATATCCAAGGTATCTATGGCTTGGAATATCCAGGTATAAACACCTATTTACCTGAGGTCCTAGTCCCTGCTTTTATGCCTCCAGTGGAACCAGAGATTGCTGTCTGTGGAGGGCCCATTGGCTGAATGGCTTGAAGTCAGCAGGAGGTGAAAAATAATCCTGCCAAGACACGAAGCCCCCGAGAAGCCACGGGGTGAGCACAGTGTCATCTTCCTGTCGAGAGCAGAGCGGGAGCGAAGGTGACCCAAGGTCTGTGCATTGACCTGGAGAATCCTGTGATCAGCTGCTTCCAGGGCCGTACACCACTGGATAGCAGTGTGGAGGGGAAGCAATTTTTGGTTTTAATGCAGTTTTACTGGAGTTCATGCACTGGTTTTCTCCTACGTGGGATTATCTGACGGTTTTCTCAAGTCACTGCCTCCACTTGGAGGTTCAAAAATTTCCTTGTAGAGCTGCTCGTGGGGTTTTGCAAATTACCAGAGGGGAAAAGGCACTTATTCAGCAGCTGTCCTGCATGCAGCAGGCTCTAGGGTTTGGGGGTGAATGGTGGTCTGAAACATGAAGAAATTATGATTTATGTTAGTGGCGTCTCCAACACATCAGTGTCTGCACAGAGAGGTTCTGTTCAGAACCCTTTGATTTCTCCAGTGTATGTCACCACCTACCAGCAGTTGCTTGCCTTTACTCTGATATCATTTGAACTGTAAAATATTTGAAGACATTTGCCAGCCAGTTGGCTGTTGAGTGTAGACAATGTAGACACTTTAATTTCTTTGTCGTTTAATCATAAGAGTATGTTCACATTTAAACAGGCAACAGGCACCATTTCACCAACAAAATGCGAAGTTGGGCAAGTGTCTGGAATGAGGGACGTTTCCTTCCCATCCCTGGGCAAGGATGGATAATCAAGCCTGTCTGGACAGACAGACACACACAGCAATGTTCCTCTCCAGTGGCATTAGCCCAGCTGGGAAAGGATGTCATTGCCTCTGATCAGTGTAAATTAAGGTCCTCCATAATGGAAAACACCCCATGCAGTCACTGCCATTTTCCTGGTCTGGATACCAGTGGGCTCTCGTTGTCTCAGCCTGTTTGGGGCCAGTTGAACATCTCATTGCTGTTCTCTGGGAAGCAAAGACGACTGGCGAGAACAGAAATATGGAGCTTAATTAATTTATAGCTCCGTGCACACATTTAAACCCAAACTAGAAGAAAAGTAACTGACAGACTCTTTCCACTCTGGTTAAATCACCCTTCTGCAGCCTTAACTTCTCCGTGGCAGATGGAAGAAAACCATAAATATGTTTGCAGAAGCTGCTGAAATATTTACGTGGCACGGCACGAGCGCCCAGTAACAACTTCCTTCCAACGAGAAACCCAGCTGAAAGCTGTCTGCCAATGCTGTGTGGAGATGAAATGCCATATACCACTTTAAATTCTAATTTTGCATGCAATAAAAGCTCCCCATAACAGATGGGAGCATTAACCACGTTTTAGAAGGAGCGGTGTCTGAGGCTGCTGATAGCAGCCCCACAGAGGTAGCACGTCAGCCCTGTCATCTGACAGATAAGCCTCCAGAATTTGGAATATCTCATCCAAGGCCACTGTGAGCTTCCTGTTTCCCTCGTGCAGAAGATGGGAGTGGATACCCAGCCATTTTGTGTCAAAAGGGATCCAAAGGGAAAAGCTTTGTTAGATGGTGTAGGAGGAAAATAATTAAATAGATGTGGATGACACTGCCAAAGAAAAGCAGCTTTGTCTCCTGAGACTTGGAGGGAGAGGGCTGGGATTTCACATCTGAGAAGTGATGGGCTTTGGTCCCAAATATGAATTATGCCTTTATCACAAACACCTCAGGTCCTTCTCGTGTGTACCAAATCTCCAGGTGTTTTAGATTGTTTTAGGATCCACCAGATATTTAAATATGCAGGGTTGTCAGGGTGTGCAATGATGGGATGGAAAATGTCAGGGATGGGTGTGAGCAATGTACTGAAAGCAAATTACCCTTCTTTAGTCTGTTACCAGTGGTGGAAAAATGTAAATAGCATGTCCATGGACCCGGAATTTCACAGGGGTTGCAGAAACCTAATGCCTTGCATGGCAAATTAGAGAGTTCCAAGGTGGGAGGAACTAACAGATGTGTGTTCAAGGTAAAGCCCCTTTTTATAACCAGCACTGCATCCTGCTTGCCTCCCCTGGTCAGTCCACGGAGAAGATTGGCATCGGATCTCCCAGGCTGCTGGCCTTGGAAAGGGGCAGCAGGGCTGTTGGGCTGCTGCTGTGGTGGACAGCAGGCACGGCTGCCCCGTGTTCCCAGGCTGTCCCCGCCGTGCCCACGGGCTGTGTTGGTGTGAGTGGCGCGGCCCAGGGGTGACAGGAGTCACTGTGTGGAGAGGGGACCCTCGGCAGCGGCTGCTCCTGCTCACAGCTCGTCCCGCTCCTCCTCGCTGCAGATGCAGGCGCTCCTCTGGCTGTTCATGAAGGGCCGGCAGCCCAGCGTCCACACGGCGTTGAACACGGTGTCTGCCACCGACTCGCAGGCTGGGGACAAGGGCAGGGCCAGGCAGGTGAGTGGTGGCACCCCACTGAGCTCCCTGGGCTTTGGGGTTTGCCCCTTGGGGGCTCTCATCCTCCCCCTGGGAACTGCATCCTTATAGACCCCGAGGTTCCTTCTGCAGGACTGGGGGCTCCTCTTCTCCCTCTTCTCTCCCCTCTCACCCCCTCCTTTCTTGCCTCTCTCAGGCTTTACTGGGTGATGGATCACCTGGGGCTCTGCAAACAGCACTGTTTACCAAGCATATTTCCCAGGAGACCTCCACACTGCAAAAGTGACTGCCTTTCCTGGCTCCCTCTCCCCTCAGTTTAGCCTATAGCCACTATTAACCAACCTTGCTGTGCTTTTGGAGAGTTATGATGCCAGCAGGAAAAATCCTCCTACAGTTGGAACAGCTGAGTGCCTGACTGCTAGCCCCTCCTCATCCCAAAAAGCAACCCTGAAACTGCTTGTCAGTAAATAATTGGTTATTATTAGGACTTTAGGGTTTCTGGCATAACATTGATTGTTGTATGCATAATAAATTTGGGAAAGCCTTGCCTTTGGGACTGTCTTCTCCCATCTCAGCCTCTCCGAGCACCTCAGAGCTCCTGCTCCTTTGGGAGTTGAAGAGGCTGTGATGAGTCAGTGGTAAAACCAAGGCTTTGGCAAACTGGCACTTTCTGCAGCTGGGATGTTTGTGCCCACACGAAGGGAGTGCAGCTGCTCTTCCCCTGCCTGCTTTCCCTGGGCTCCTGGTGAGTCAGTGGAGAGGATCCCAGATAAGTGACACGGTGGGGAGCCATCTGCACTAGTACTGGTGTTACAGACCTCCCATGTGTCCTAATCAGGCTGTACCTTCAGAAAACAAATGCACATTTAAGGACACCTTACAGCAGGGCATCAACAGAGATTACCAAACACAGCCCTTACCAAAAAGCTCTTCTCAGACTTGCAGAATGAGTCTTTTAAAATTTAGGCAAAACCAGGGTGGCACTTGAACTGCTGACACATCACTAGAGCTTTCATTAGCACTTCTGAGCAATCCAGATCTGCCCTGGATGGCTCAGCATTGGCTCAGCCACCACCCACACTGTGGTGTGTCCCTGCTGCCATCAGCATCTCTTATCTGGGAACCACATCCCGGAGAGTCCTGTCCTTGGCTCTCCCAGTTTGTTGGCCCTTGGCCACATACAGGACAGGTTTAGTGTGTGGCTTTAGTGGCTCTGGAAGGTTTTTGGTATCCCATGTTTGAACTCTCTGGGAGGGCATCCAAGCTTTGGAGGAATTACTTCCCAGGTTTTTTTGTGGGTTTTTTTTTTTTTCCTTTCTACATTGTAATGTTTTCCAAATGCCAAAATCCCTGTAGGTCTCCAGTCTCGGGACAGAAGTGTGGCAGAGGGGGCAAATCTCTGTGTTCTCACCCATCCCTGACCCACCAGTGACAAGCACAGGGCAGAAGTGCTGCTCCCTACTGCTGATTTTTGCTTCTTTTGGCAAGGAAAAAGGGCTCTTTGCCCTCACCCTCCCCTCCCTGCCACCTCTGGTTCCCTCCCCAGGGAATGCCAGCCGAGGAGCCCACCTTGGACCTTGGAGACGAAGCCGAGGCTGCGCTTGAGGTCGGAGCAGATGGAGTGGAGGCACCAGCGGAACTTGGCGTCACAGCGGTACTTGTTGGCCCCGCAGGTGTCATAGCAAATGTCCAGCTGGTTACAGCACTTGGTCATGGCAGGGATGCCCAAATCTAGCTGGAGAAAGAGAAAAGAAGTGTCCCTGGGCTGTGTCCTGGCCTCAGGCTCACACAGCTGTGATGGGGCGAGGTGCTGCAGAGCCCAGCTGGTCCCTTCTCCAGAAATTTCCCCGGATAGCTGGGGCAGAAGGAGGGAACGTGGGATGCTCCCTCACCATCTGAAGAAAGTGGTGGCAGTGGTGCAGATTCAGTGCAGGGTAGATCCCATTCCCTTCTTCCCTCTCTGTCCCCTCTGGTAGAGAGGGGGGAAACAGCCCCTCCACAACCATTTGCTGTTTTTCATTTGTCCGAGCTCATCAGAGAGCTCCATGTCCTTGCCAGCAGTGGCAAAAGCCCCTTTTTCCTCCTTTTCCCAAAATGTAACAAGTCCTGCATTTTGGCCTAATAAATCTGCCATAGGTGTTTCTAATGACTTATTTCTCAGAGATGCACTTGTGAGGCCAAGGACAAACACGGCGTGGTCAGGGGAGTTCTGCTCTCCTGGAGTAAACAGCAAGCTTAGCTAATAACCGTGGGACTGAGGGGGCAGAAGGCCTGTCTTCTGGAGAGATTGGACTCGTTAGCTTGTTATAAATTATTCCTCTTTTTGGCCTTCCTCATGTAATATTTAGGAGATGAATTGTTCCTTCGTTGTGCCCGTGATCGCCCATGTCAGGAGGAGCTACCACAGACATACCCACAAGGTTTGCAATGAAATAGAGTTTAAGGGACTAAACCTAACATGCAAAATGGGCTGCAAAGAGAGGGGCTTTCAGAGCAGGAATCTGCCTAATTGCTGCAGACTTCATGGGCTGCATGAGCTAAAGGGGAATTCCTGCTCTGAGAGCCTCCTGGGAGTGCTTTTCCCAGCGACTCCGATGTGATTTCGTTAATTGCCTTTAAAATAACAGGCAGGTGCAGCATCAATGCCCGTGTGTTTAATTCAGTGCTTGGCAGAGGCAGAAAGCCTGGGAGGGGTGAAGGGCCAGGGGTGGAGGATGCACTCAGGTATTGCTGTGTGCACAGTGTCACCGAGCTTCCCAGCACTGAACATGTTCCCTTCTCTCTTCTCAGAATTATTGGCTGGTTTTGTGATTAGGGAGCTGCCCCATTTCAGTACATACACTTTCGGGTACCTTGAGCCCCAGAAAATTGGAGCTACAGCCGTTGGGTTCCTGGGGCTTGTAGTGAGGTCGTGGCATTGGAGCCTTCCCTGGAAAAGAAAGGAGAAGGGTTAGGAGAGCCTGTCTTCCCAAGAGGTAGCACCACAAAGCAAGGAGTGGCAGACAGCTCCCCTTTGGTCTGCATCCCCAAACACTTCATTCCGGTCCAGGAATGTGCCTCCTGAGAGCTCTGCACAGCTGGGATCACCCAGGTGGGGTTTTAACTCCTGCAAGGAGTTACACCACTAGCTTAGCAAGGGGTTTCTTTCCACCCTCAGTTCTTTCTTGGTGTTGGTGTGCTACGGGGCTCCACAAAGTTGTGTTAGACCTTGCATGTCTGATCTGGCTCTGAGCAGGTCTTCTTGGTCCATTTTCTGCAGATGGTGATGCACTGCCACGTTTTGCAAATCGTTTCTATTCCTTTAATCCCTGCACCTCCCTCACTCTGCTTCTTAATATGCATAAAGGAGCAAGAATTCCCTCTATGAGTAATTATTTACCTAATGCAGAAAGAGTCCAGCAAACAGTAAGTAGCTTCAGCAGCGTTTTAATAATTTCATTCTGGTTTCTGAAGGTGTGCAGCCCTCCTGTGTCCCAGCCATGCTGGAGTTCTGTGTATGGCTGACAGAGCACTCTGGGTGTGTGGGGGGGTGCTCAGGACTGAGGTGGGAACCATCTGTGTGGAAAGGAGATGTGGCTATTCCCTGCCCTGTCTCATCCTCTTTCTGTTATCCTCACCTCACCCCCATCTCCATCTAAGCCAACACCCCCTGTTTGGGGAGAACACATCTCCAGGCTGCCTGTGTGCCTTGGTCCTGCTGCACAAGGAGTGTGTTTAAGGGTGGGAGAGGATTCTCCCCTGGAGAAGTTGTGTAGACCCCCTCAGGGAGCTGGGTTTCTCTGTGCTCTCCCTCAGTGTGTGTTCAGTGCTTCTTTCAGTCCCAGCTGGGTTTGTAAAAGGGGGATCTCCAGTGCAGAGTGAGGTGTTAAAACAAGACATTTGTCACAGAATATCCTCAGTTGGAAAGGACCCACAAGGGTCACCGAGTCCAACTCCTGGCGCTGCCCAGGACACCCCAACAATCCAACCCTGTCTCCAAACCCTCCTGGAGCTGTGGCAGCCTTGGGGCTGTGCCCACTGCCCTGGGGAGCCTGGTCAGTGCCAACCACCCTCTGGGGGAAGAACCTTGTTCTAATATCCAGCCTAACCCTCCCTGACACAGCTCCAGCCGTTCCCTGAGTCCTGTCACTGCTCTGGGAAGACATTGTAAGCTGTGTGAATTTTCCAACAAAGACATGTGAGCTGAGTCTTCTGTAAGTCTGTCACATCAAAGGTTAAGTTTCTACTTCCCTGAGCACTGCTAGAAAATTTATATAGACATTAAATGGATCTAGTTCAGCCCTTCAGACAGGGTCGGATTCTTTTAAACTCAGTTTCCACTGCTTTCTCCTTGTCAGCACTGATAATTATTTAAGACTCCTTCCCCTTTTTTGTGTTGAGGTACCTAAAATGCCAGTGGTTAATATAGCCATAAATCTACTGTGCTCTTGAGAAGACCTCACAGCCAAATGCCTTGAAAGGTCTTATGTAGGAGTGTTCCCAGCACCTGCTTAGGTAAAAATTGTCAGGGTGGTTTAGTTTAAATAACAGATTTGCAACAAATAAAGAAGAAACTGAAATCCTGTCCAGCTGTGAGATGCCAACGGTCAATTTTCCCCTTCCAAATGAGCCTTGTTGTTCTTTTGGAAGGGGATGAGAATTGGGACTCAGAATTCAAATGTTCCTGAGCTGAGGTAGGAGGCAAAGTCCAAAATCCACAGTGGGTTTTGCAGGATGGAGTCAAATTGGAATGACTTGCTTGTAATATTAAGTTATGTTCCTGCAGCACATTGCCAATAATGGGATAAGGTAAGTCAGAGCAGGGGTGAGACTGTTTGGGGATATGGAGAGTTCCAAGCTCCATTATCTAGTTCCAAGCCGCAGATAACTGTTTCCAGAGCAAACCTTCCATTAAGCTGAAGTCACAGCTTGTTAGAATGCCCTAGAAAGTTGTCCTGAGGAAAAAACCCTCACGTGAGAGTTGTGGTGATCAACAAAACACTGAACTTCCTCTGAGATGAGCCCTTGTAGGAAACCTGCCCCCTCCTCTCTGAAAATAGAGCTTAATAATTTGTAAAGTGCCTCTTTGTGAACTCTTACACCACTATTAATCTCTCTCCCATGCCTTGTTTTCTAGTTAACAGGAAAACAAAAGCAGATCAGAAATACCAGGCGTTCCCGACTCTCCAAGAGCATCAAATCCCTGCTCCTGTTACCACTTATTGCTTGCCCATTCTTGCAGTCAAGAAAATATATTCCAGGGCACTGCCTTGTTGGCAGAGCCTTGGAGCTGAAGCTGAATCTCCCTGCTGCATTTTAAGGTCTCCAGGCTGTTGTAGCTGTCCCCAGAGGCCGGAGAGCAGCCAGCTGGCTGGAGCAGCTGCTGGCCATGCAGGAGGTCCCACACACTGCAGTGCTGGGACCCTGGCAGGGGGAGGTGAGTGTGTTTCTGCCTGAATAGATGGTCTCGGGGCTCCTGGCAGTTTTGGGTGGTCCATTGTTGTTTCTGTGCCCCAGGCAGGCTTTGAGCAGAGGTTCCCCTGCTTGCCACAGCCTTTTAGTGCAGTGCTGGAGAGCCTGACTTTGAAGGCTCTTTTCTCACAGCCTGGAGGTGCCTCCTCATCTTAAGGCCTTCAGGGCCAAACACTGGGCAAAGCATTGAAGTCCTGCCTGGTCAGAGAGCTGAAGGAAGCTACAAGGGCTTTACTCCCAGCTCAGACTCTTTGTTTCCCCTGAGATGCCCAGAGACTCTTTGTAAGCAGGAGCAGTTGTTTGCCGGTGAATGCCAGTGTAACCCTAATGTCCTGATTTAAGGGAATAATCCATCAAGTTGTTTGTTTTCAGACCTCACTAGCTGCTGAAAAATCAGGAGAGTCTTAGAGCCAAGTGCTATGTGCTCAGCTGAAGATGGATGTGGCAATCAGAGGTGAGTCCTGATCTTTACTGGGGCAAAATAAGCTATTATTGGTATTTCTTGGCTGAAATGAAAGAAAGTAGAAGGCATAATTTTTTGCTTTGTGCCTGGGGAAGAAAAGCATTTGGGCCCTGATTCAGCATAAAGATGGTTTGTGTTTGTTCTTCTGGGCACAGGCTGGATCTCATTGGTTTGGGATCATCCTGGCATCTTCTGCACTCACGGTTTGCAATGTCTGTGCTAGAGACTGGCACGGACAAACGGTCCTGGAAGGGTCCAGCAGGACCCTTGGAGGCACATGGGGAGTGTTTCAATAGTTTCCTCCTTCAGCCAGTGATTAATGAGTTGTTCAGCAGAGGATGAGAGCTGGGATAATGATGTGCTTGTTCCTTTTCTAGGTAAAATGCTGCTCCAGTGAGACACAGGATGCTCTCGGGTGGCGGGCAGGGCTTTGTGCTGCTCTCTGGAGGTGCTCTTCACAGGGACAGAGGCAGGGAGAGCCTCGGGGTGTGTCCAAAAGCAATGACTTCTCCAGGATTTGGTGAGTCCTGAGACTCCCTGAAAGCAGCTCTGAACAGCAGTGTTGCCTCAGGCCCACTGCAGCCCCAGCCACGTTATTCCCCACCCAGGGGGTTCAACCTTTGCATTAAGAAGGGCGAGCCCCTTTCTGCTCTGAATCTGGAGCACGGTGTGGACCTTTAGGAGGTTGTCACTGCCACACTGACATGGGGACAGGCTGCCCATGGGCACATGGCCTCGTGCTGTGGGGTGTGTGGGGGCTGCCTCCCCCAGACGCTGGGGACACCAGTGGCCCTCCTGAGCTGCTGCAGAGAGGCAACCTGAGCTGGGGGGGCTGTGGGGCCCTGGGCTGAGGGACCAGGGCCACTGTGGGGCTGAGGTGCCTGACTCCCTCCATTCCATGGGGGGGATTGCCTAGCCTGCTGCCCCCCTTGTTCGGTGTTAGCGTGGGACCTGAGGAGCAGAGCTGGCAGGAGTGGGAGGACAGATACATATACACGTTATTCAGAAACAGAACAAGAAACTCAACAACTTTCAGACTGATTTTAACCTCCCTGTGGCCCCATTTTGGCTAAGCATGCCCCCTCTGCCCCTGACAGTGGGCTCAGGTCATCCTTGCAATAGCTATTTCTCCCAGCACCCTGGCTGGGAGGGGCAGGAGTCCATGGGATGCATCCAGGCTGAAAGAGAGTCAGTGGGATCTCCCCAAAACATGGAGTGTTTGTGTGAAAACCGATGCTCAGGGAAGGAGAGGGGTTGAAATCCCTCTGTGCTCACAAGCACCTTGCTGGGCAGTCACTAGGGGTGTGGGATGAAGCTGGGGGAAAGGGGCTGCCAGGCTGTTGTGGGTGGGCAGGCTGAGGTGACAGAGGACAAGATTTGCTGTGGGGACAGTTGCAGGAGGCCGAGGAGAGGATACAGTCTGTAGGAAGCCTCCTTGCTTGCTCCCAAGCAGGTTGTTTCAGCGGGTACCCTGCTGATGGCTGGTGCTGCCCGTGTCTGTCACCCCACAGACCTGCAGCTCTGCACACCCCGTGCCCTGCTCTGCCCTCCCTGAGACCCCCTTCATCCTGCCCCCGGCACAAACCAAATTCCTCCTTTTTGGTAAATCGCTCTAAAGTCCAAGGCAAGCGAGAGCTGCCTCATTCCACCGCGGGTACTAAAGGTTCCCCCGGTCCCCTCCCTGTTCTTTCCCCTCCTCCAGCCCGCGGCGTCGGCCAGCTCACAGCTGCTGAATAAGGGCACTCCTGGAGTTGCTGAGGTTGGGGCCGCGGGCTCAGCCTGCGCTCCGGGGCCTCTCTGCCCACCCTGTCCCTCCTCAGGGCTCCAGGCAGCCGGGCAGCCTGGGTACCCGTGTGCCCCTCCTGCAAAACCTGCGTCCTCTCCTCCTGCCACCGTGCCCGGGGGCTCTGGGCTCGGGCTGTTCCTGGGCACAGGGAAGGAGGAGGGCTCGGTGTCCCTGTGCCGAGCACAGCAGGGGCAGGTCACGGAGAGCAGAGCTGGCTGTGGTCAGGGAAGGAGAGGGAGCCAGCAGCAGTGAGGGCACTCACCGTACCGACATCTGTACTGACAGACGCCGTTCTTCCCCCCGAGCAGCTCCAGGAAGGAGTCGAAGTAGCTGTTGACCGTTTCGAAGCCGTCCCGGATGGTGTCGATGCCCCAGTCGGAGTAGGATGACTCTGCCTGTGGGTCCTGGTGGCCGGTGCTCTCCCGTGCTGCCCCCTCGGAGCACTGCCCCGGCCCCAGGCAGAGGCACAGCAGCGCTGCCCGGAGCAGCAGCCTCATGCTGCAGTCCAGCCCCGGAGCCTCGGGAGCAGGGAGCAGTGGGATCGAGCTGCCCTGGGTGGGAGGCGGGTAAGCACCCCCTCCCTGGACTTTAGACACTGCCAGGGAGCCGGCATGAGGTCACTGCAGTCGGAGAGCAAAGTGCAGCGCCGGGATTTGGGCCCAAGTTCACCTCACAGAGGTGTGAGTTTGCACAATCCCGCTGGAACAGGCTCAGCTCCTGTGGCACCAGGGCTCCAGCTCCCCAAGAGGGACCCCTCCCTAGGGGGCTGAGCGGGGTCTGTCTGCCCAGGACCCTCCACCTGCCCCATAAGGCCACCCCACTCCCTCCCCAGCCTGTTGGGAGATGGGTATCTGTCCAAAATTTCTGCTGCCCAAGCAGTAGATCAGCACACTGAGGAGCACCCCTTGCCTTTTCCCAGTGCCTCCTGGGCACGGGATGGGGTGGGATGAGACCCAGCTTAGCTGCTCCCAGCAAACCCTGTAGGACCACAGAGCCCCAGAGGGGTTGATCCAGCAATTTAGAATAGTTTGGGATTACAAACACTGCGTTGGAGCAATTCCTTGGCATCACCTCCACTTCAGTATCAGTGTTGTAGACGAGTATTTGCCTTTGATGTGGCTCCTGAAGGCTGATGTTACAGCTTCTATGGAATGCCAACATTGCCAAATTAAACACACAGCATTGCTGACCCAGAGTGAGGAAGGGCTGGCACCAAAACCTGAGCCAGGAAAGGGGCTTGTAGGGGAGCTGCAGGTCCTGGCTCTGGGGTGGGACTGCCCTGCCAGGACCCAGGGCCCTGCACAGCTGATGGACAGTTCAAGGAAATTACTCCTTAAAAAGGAAACAATCAAATGAACACGAGCAGCAGAAAGACAAGGCAAACCACTGATAAAGAATAGGGAAGGAAAGCGGCATGGGAAGCCTCTGGCTGCTCTCAGAAAACTTTTGGGATGTGTCCCAGCACAGCACTGCTCCTCAGAGGGACCTAGGCAGCAGGTCTTTCAAATATATGGCAAACACAAACACCAATTCTGGCATTTTATTGTATTGCAGGATATTCAGCCTCACTGTGTTGCTGCTTCTGAAGGACCAGAACCCCGTGGTAGTGCCTGTGTCTTTCTGGATATGGCCATGTGTGATGTGCTCCAGACTTGGGAGGAAGGAGGAAGGACCACAGCCAAGTCTTGGTTTCCCAGGCAGGTAAGTCAGAGAATTGGGGAAGAGGAGCAGACAAGGTGGTTGGTCCCATTCCTGTGAAATGGTGTGGAACCAGAGGCAGCTGCTGCCTTTTTGTTCCATCTGTTCTGAGGCCCAGCACTGCCTGGGCTCAGTTACTGGCTGGGGGAACATGTGAGGAGTGTGGGAGATCCAAAGGGAACCTCAAACCAGCTTTGTCTTTTGAGAGCTAAACCCGGATGCAGAGAGCATTGGGAAGGGCGGTTGGCAGTGTCCAAGCTGCAGACAAGGAGGGGGAGCACTGTAATGTCTGGTGAGAAATTAGGGTGATGTTTTGGGCTGAGCTAGAGGTACCAGGTTGCTCCCAGAGAGTCTGTTCCCTGGATCCTGGGAACCAGCCAGCCCCTGCCTCCTAAGTGAGCCTTTTGTGACACCTGTGTCACCCCTGGCACAAAGCAAAGGATGGTGAAGTGAGGATTTCCCTGCAGGAGCACTGGAGAGCTCAGGCTTGTCCTGCTGTTCAGACCATGCTGGGGACTGATCTGTCAGCCGTGGGTGGAAATGGTCCCTGGAATTTGGTGCCAGGGAGCCCCAGTGCAGGGAAAATCGGGCTTAGCAGTCCCGTGCTGTGTCTTTCAGTGAGTGGAGCCATTGGTGTCTCTGCTCAATCCCTGCCCTGCCTGACACTCCAGTTTGCAGTCCCAGTGCTCCCAGCCCTTACCAACAGCCTGGCAGAAATTAAAAAGCAAACCAGCTGTTTGGGAATGGCTTGGAAATGTGTAGAGCCCCTGGGTGTCTGTGCTTGGTGCCATGCTTTTAATATGGAGCCTTTTAGGGTTGCTCCAGAGGCAATTCCAGAACGCAGCTTTTCTTTGTCATCCCTTGGTCCCTGGTGCCTGATCCATGTGCTGCTGAAGGCAAACAAAGAGGAAAAAAATGCCGGCAGGACTGCAGAGGATGCAAACCACAGGGAATTGTGTCATGAGCAGGACATGCAGCCTGGAGGGGGTGGCTCTGGAGCCCAGGCTGTTTGCAAAATCAATTGGAATTAGTTAGGAAAACTGAATAGGGTGGGGAGGGAGGAGCTGGCAAAGTGCAAAGCCCGGGAAAAGAGGAGTCAGAAACTTTCCTGCCCGTTTGTCGCTTGTCCTGGAGCAACGGTTTGCGAATAAAAAGCAGTTTAACTGCTTTTCCAAAACGTGGCAGCCCCTGTGCCCTGCCCTGGGGATGAGCCACTCTTCTTCCTTCCTCCCTCCTGCTTCCTTCCTCCTCTCCTCACACCAGTCTCCTGAGACGTTTCCAGTCCAGCTGCAAATAGGTCAGTTGCACCCAGACTTTAAGATCTGAAGACCAGGAAAAATGTAGGACTGAGTAAAAGCGACACACAGTTCCCTCAGGGAGCTGCTGAGCAGCTGCAGCAGCGAGGAACTCCCCGACATGGGTGTGCACAGCAGGTACCAGGCCTGGCTTGGACCCACTGCAGTTGTAAATGCCCCCTCCCTGTGCTGGTTTTGCTCTCTCTGAAGATTGAGATGCTGTTTGTGAACTCTGACAGCTGGGTTCTGAACCTTGTCCTGACCCTGGGGTACGCTCCTGACTCGGTGCATTCATTTCTGCCTCTGTAATGCTTAAATATAGAGCAGCCCCGGGCCGTGGTGAGTCACACATTCCCAGGGACACTGTCAGGCTGCTGGCAGCCCCTGCAGCGGGAGGGAGAGGTGACTGTACCCAGAGGGAGAGGTGACTGCACCCGTCCCAGCGCTGGGCGCATCCCCCAAGCTTAGGGGAGTGAAGCCCATCCCATATGGAGCTGGAAAATCTCTCTTGGCTTCACACTGGGAGCAGCTGGAGCTGCTCCAGCTCCTCTAGTGCATTCCCTTCTCAGAGCACGCTGCCACAGGTCTGTGCTATGCCGGGATCCTTCCCTTGGTGTCCTGCTGGGGATGTGGGATTGAGGCACTGAGCTCTTCTTCCGTGGGCTTTGGATGGCTCCAGGGGTTGCTGGTCGGTGTTTAGCACAGGGAAGAGGCAGCTTGTGGTTCAGGTTAGTGGGTGATCCGTGGCTGCTCCAAAGGCTGGGTTGGGAGCCAGATGAGTCACTGATTATGGGAACAGAGAAGTGCAGCTCGATGACGAAATACCCGAGGCTGAGTCGGTCAGAGTCCAGCAGCTGGAGGAAGATGGGTGGGTGGGTGAAGATCCTCTCCCTCGTGGGGGCTGTGCTCAAGTGTGTGAGCAGGTCCAGTCTCTCCAGGAGTCCCTGGACAGGTCCCTTCAGCCCTGTGCTGCCTTCCCCCATCCATAGGAGGTGATTCTGTCCCTCAGGTGAGACCCCCTGCAGAGCTGCCTCCAGCCCTGGGGAACAGCACAGCAAGGACATGGAGCTGCTGGAGCCAGTCCAGAGGAGGCACCAAGGTTATTAGAGGGATGGAGGAAAGGATGAAAGAATTGGGATTGTTCAGCCTGGAAAAGAGAAAGTTCTATGGAGACCTTAGAGCCCCTTCCAGTGCCTAAAGGAAGAGAGAGCTCTCTCCAAGAGAGCTGGAGAGGGACTTTGGACAAGGGATGGAGGGACAGGACAAGGAGGAATGGTTTTAAATTGACAGAGAGCAGGTTTAGATATTGGGAAGGAATTCTTGGCTGGGAGGGTGGGGAGGCCCTGGCACAGGTTGCCCAGAGAAGCTGTGGCTGCCCCTGGATCCCTGGAAGTGTCCAAGGCGAGGTTGGAGAGGGCTTGGAGCAACCTGGGCTAGTGGGAGGTGTCCCTGCCCATGGCAGGGGGTGGGATGAGATGCTCTTTAAGGTCCCTTCCATCCCAAACTGTTCTGGGATTGTGTGATACTGTCAGACCCTTCTCTTCATTTCATCCCTGCCCTGTGACATTCACAGGCCCTTTTCCCTATCCCTGACCCTGTCCTGCCTTTTCAGCTGCAGCTGCTCAGTCCTTACCCTGGTGGGAAGGTAAGGAACCCACGGGTTCCTCCCGTGGTTGTGATCCCCGTGGACATGGTCTGGGTGCAGCTGTGCCAGAAGAGCCCCAGGTGGAATGGTGGGGAGCCACGGCACCCGAGCACTGGTCAGGGTGTCCCAGGGCTGATCCACCGCCCTTCCCTTCCTCCAGGGGAGGGGCCAGGGCCTGCCTTGCTGAGCAGGGCAGCAGCACAGAGTGGCTGGGCATGGAATCCAGCCCCCTTTCCAAAATAAACCAACGCTGGTACACTTCAGACTCATTTCCTATCCTGTGGCTGCCAAATCCACCAGCACATCAGCTGTGTCCGTGGGCAGTTCCCTGCCCCTGAGCCAAGTGCTCCATCAGCAGCACAAGGCTCCGTTCCACAGGCAGGAGGATCAAAGGCTTCTGACCAGCCCTTGCTGTGCTTTTTGCAGGTTCCTGATGGCCACGAATTAAGCAGGAGCTGCACTGCTCCCGAGGGTGTAGCCCAGGAATGGTTGTGGTCTATAAACCACCGAGAGTTTGGATAAGGAAGATGTCAGCCTGACCTTCCTACATGTGAGTGCTTGGTCTTCCTCTGGTGCTGTTGGAGTCTCTGGTGCTTTCCTCCCCCCCAGAACTATCCAGAGCAAGTTGTTGTTTGACCTCGGGCTTCAGAAAACAGATTTGTCACCCTTGGGAAAGGGTCTCTGAGCAGATGCCCCTCTGCTGTGCCTGTGGTGTTCCAGCCCCAGACCTCGTGTGGTTACTGAGCCCCACAGCAGCTTCTGCCACCAACCACTGCCCTGGGGAGACAAGGGCTGGGCCACACTCCTCCCCAAGACCTCCTTGCCCTAAATTTTTAGGCACAAGGTGCTTTGGGCCCAGCACTATCTGCCCTCCC